TGCGTGGATAGGTTGATGTCACGTGGTGTGACGTCATACAAAAAATAGGTTTCTTATAAACAAACGCAAACGAACAAACAAGAAACGCTCTAGTATATTGATCGCGGCTTGACGACGGGTAGAGAGCTGACAAACGTGTGAACCTAGCCCTGACATTTGCATATTTTAGTTATTTATTTGCTTATTTGATAACTGCAGGAGCAGCCCCGCCTCCAGCACGCGCTTGTTGCCTTCAGTCGTGCTTAGACCTGCGCGCGTGCGCCGAAGGTACGAAACTCGCGCTGCAGGTGGAGCTTGTACAGCAGATCTCGTTGCAACTGACTGTAGTTCAATGATAGCTAACTTTATTATTTTTCTAGAACGAAACTTTATATTATATACCTTGCTACTAATAAAAAAAAAAAAAAAAGAAAAAAAGGAAATAAAAATAAAAATTGTTTTCGAGAAAATCGATTTTGATTTAGCTAGGTTTTCCAATAATTCCTTCACCCAAATCTATATAACATTTTTTTTTTGTACGTATAATGTTGAACTTTATTCATTGAAAATAGCTAGATTCGCGCTTTCCGGTGATATTAAGGTCATTAAAATATCTTAAATAGGTCACACGTAAAAACTTGTCAAAATTTGCTAAAAATCATTAAAAAACACAGTTCGACATTGTTTTGTTAATATATTGCAAGAAGTATAAATGAGAAAATGGCGAGCGATCAAGCATGCAATCCCTGAACGATGGGAAACATTAGTTTTCGTCTCGACCACTTTTCAAAAAGACGGAAAAATGAGACTCCCCCCCCCCCCCCCCTCCCCCCCACTTGCTCCGACCCTCGTTTGTGTAACCGGACCACTGCAATTCTCCTTCCAAGAGGATTAACCCATCGCTCGAAACTCGGAAAAAAGTTGCTTCACCCCGAAGCTGACAGTGCTGTGGAAGCTACGTGCGCCTTTTGCAAGCCACACTTTTGCCACGTGATCACGCTCCCTCGCGCATACCCACCCGCAGAGAATGAGGTCAGGTGATAAAAGGGAGGTGGCTGATTGGTCCGGCAAGCGCATAGCTTCCACCGCGCTGTCAGCTTAGGGGTGAAGGGATTAAGTGAGGTCCGGTGTCGTGTAACGTGCGGATGCACGTTACACGGATGCCTCGCAGTGAAAAGGCAGAGAGGTTTCGAAGGAGTCCGCTGTGTTTTCAAATTTTCACGCCGAAAATAAAACATGTTTTTGACTTTCTACCTTCTTTGTTTTGGCCTCCTAAATGATATGCTATTAGTAAGATTCCAGTCTAAATTCATTTATCCCAGACAAAAATCGTTTCATGGGCCCTTTAAAAAAAAAACGCGGCCCCGAAACCGTGCCTGACAAGAGATGAAAAACACACACAAACATAGAAACCACACACCCCTCAATTTTAAGAGCAAGAGAGCTCGGAAAGATTATTACTTATTAGTAATAATCTTTTCAAGCTTACGAAACCAACATCACCCAGGAACGCTGAAAAAAAAAAAAAAAAAAATCTTTAGTGTGATTTAAAAAAAAAACTACAAAAAATCCTAAAAAAAAAAAAAAATAGAAGTCAATTTTAGTGTATTTTTACCCCGCAAACTCGAATACCCATACCATTCGCTGCGCAAGTATTGTTAAAAGCGAGAAAACGCGAAAGACAGTCGCTGTACGTGACGTCATGGACGGATACTTTGGCTGCTCAAGGCTAGGAAGGCGAGGCTTCAGCCCTATTTTGAAATTGCTCTTATGGCTCTCCGGCGCGTCACAATAGTTGTGATCAGGCACGTAGCCAGGGGGGGGTCATGGAACCCAGCCCCCCCCCCCCCCCCCCCCCGAAATCTTCCATTTTGCTAGGACCTCCTCTCCCCCCCCCCTTCCTCTCTAACAGCATTTTGTCATAAACGCCCCCTCCCCCCTCCCCCCCCCCCCCCCCCCCCCGGAAACAAAATCCTGGCTACGTGCCTGGTTGTGAATTCAAGAGTTTTTTTTTTTTCTTAAATGCAGGAGTGCCCCATCTTCCCTTTAAGCATTAAAGGGATACTACAACGAAATTTCGGCGCTTATTTTTTGGTCTATGTGTGTTCAAAGGAGCAGTATCACATCGAACACACCAATATCTTGTTAAAGGACTCACGAAACGATCGTCCAACTTTTTCCTGTTAAGCTTTCCTCCTCAACTCATAAATCCCGCATTGTACCAAACAGTCCAAGAAGACGAATAAAGGGAAGTCCCCTCTTGCTCGGACTCTCGTTTGTGTATCCGACCACAGCCATCCTACCCCTAGAACATAAGCGCGTCGCTCAAAATTCAGACAAAAGTTGCTTCCCCACCCCGTTCACCCCGAAGCTGACAGTGCTGTGGAAGCTAGGTGCTCCTTGGGCCAGCCACACTTTTTCCACGTGATCACGTTCTCTCGCGCATACCCACGCGCAAAAGAATGAGGTCAGGTGATGAAAGGGAGACGGCTGATTGGTCCGGCAAGCGCGTAGCTTCCACCGCAATGTCAGCTTAGGGGTGAAGGGAATGAGTGAGGTCCGGTGTCGTGTGATGTGCGTTTGGACCCGGTGACGCGCTTTTGGGACCACGGATGTATCACAGAGAAAAGGCTTACGAAAAAATAGAAAAAAGCATACGAAGGGAAGGAAGTACGAAATAGTCCGCTGTGTTTTTAAATTTTCGTACCGTAAGTCAGGCTTTTGACTTTCTATTTTTTTTTTTTCTTTTGGTCCACTGAACCGATGTGCTATTAGTGAAATTCCAATCTAAATTGATTTATCCCAGCCCGAAATTCGTTTCATAGGCCCTTTAAAAAAGCCACGAGAGGAATTTTAAAACGAAGTAAACGATTAGAAAGAGCACCTGGTGGATGTCGCTAACGCATCGTTTGTAATAACCTTGAGAGGTAGTGACGGTAACTGTCTCGCCTTCGGCCACGACGAGATAAGAGGAGAAGGAGGAACTCCCCTCTTCCCGAGAACCCCTTTCTTTTGTGTCTCCAAGAAGTCGCTATTGTCCCTCTACAAAATTATAGATGATTAACCCGTCACTCAAAATTCGTACAAAAGCAGCCGCCTCGCCGTAGCTTTGCTCGTCCCGAGACAAACTACGTCACGATTGCGTTGGATGTCACGTGCTCTATGCTGGCTGTTCTCCGAGCGCTTGCCAGAGTGGGCCGTTTATAACGAAAAATACAGCCACCAGTCTCAAAATACAAACGTGCGACTGTCATCTACGGATACTGTGGATCATATTCAACCTATTTTTGAACACGACAGGTATATTTCAAATTTCGTTGACGTATCCCTTTAAAGCTGCCAAACCGCAAAACCCTGATAACATAAAAAAAAAGGAATATCAGGGTTCTATTAAAGATTTTTTTCGGCGTTTTCGGGTGATGTTGGCTTTTGTCCCGTCGCCTCCTTGCACTAGAAGTGTTTTGTGGGCTACTAAGACCTCGAAAAAGGTGTTTTAAGTTGGGAAAGAAGTATTTTGAGTCAACAATGCTTAACCTTCTCTTTCTGCAGAAACTAGCGCATACAAGCAAAAACTTATCCGTATCACAATGATTTTAACCCGAGGCTGGGGCACGAGGAAAAAATGTCCCTGTTCTGCTCCAGTCTCGGGTTAAAACCATCAAGGTAAACAAACTTGCACCAGCTCGCTTGCACACTGACCATAATTCCGGTAAAATGTTGCCTTCCAGAAAAAAATTAAACTATATTATCATTGCTTTTTAGCCTTTAGGAATATCATCCACACGATATCCGAATTTTAATCCTCCACAGCACAAGTAATTCAATTTTAAACATAGCCCAACTGATCAGATTGCACCTGCAAAACACACAACGGTTTTGTTGGCAACAGCGGAACCTCTGACGACATCAGGCGAAGAGAGCCACCTCAGCTCTTGACTGTTGTTTCCGTAAAATAACTTCGCTCTAAGAAATATTTACGGTATTGAGGGAACCGCAGTTCTTCGACGGTGATCTTTGTATGCACCATCAACCATTGAAATCAAATTCCGGAATCGCGGGTTCCGGAATCGCGGAACCCGCGATTTTGACATTACCATGCCCGATGTGACGTCACTGCACGACCAGCCATGCATTCTTGAGAAATTTGGCGTGAAGTTTCGTATCGATGTTCATAATTGATCTGACGAATATTGGGGCGTCTTTTAATGAAATAAATATCCCATATGACTCGCACACGAACGTACCGCATTGTCACGCGCTACATTCGAAACTCTGGATTGGCTGCGATCGCTCGTAGCGTGCGCTACAAACCATCACAAAAAAAAAAAAAAACAGCATCAAAATGCTTTTGCTACAAACCCCCCCCCCCCCCCCCAAAAAAAAAAAAAAAAAAAAAAAAAAATTGTTTTAGCGCACAAAGTTAACAAAACTTTACGAAGGAAACAAATATGACATGCAATTTCATCCGGACAGTTAAAATAGCTTATATTTCAATTTTTTTAAATTTGTGCACAAACGTCCCAAGGCCAGTGCCTGCATCTTCCACTTATGTCCCGACCACTGATGAGAACCGTTACAACAGTTACAGTCTACACTTACGTCAGGTTGTTCCGTGACGAAAATGAAACCAGCTCACCGGATTCGAGCATGTAACGAGGAGATATTATACAGTAACTTTTAATCTTGTTTTAGCTCACGCAACCACTTCCACACTATGATCAAGTCACGAATATTCCTGTTACATGTTGCCATTTAAAAAATGACTAATTAGAGAGTGAAAAAAGTGTCCATAACGTTGAGAGTTTCAATTATATAAGTTGTGTCAGTAATGGTACATTCAAGGACTAGTCTGCCAGCACTGCCTCTTCAGATGCAACCTTGAATGCTGTAAACGAAAGGTTGCTCACAAACGTACTACCCACAACCTTTTTGGCGGCTGGATGTAAAACAGGTGTTTACATCTAGACTCAAAATGAGAACATAACGGGGCCATAAAAGAGGTAAAGCAACGGCACAAGAAATTCATCTTGCAAGTGTACTATTTTATTTCACAGGAACATACTTTCAAAGTCAACAGTATTGAAGCAACAAACATTTTGTACAAAAAAAAAAATAGTTTTTTTTTTAATAAGAATTCAGAATTTCACTAAAAATAGAATTCAGTAGAGCAATAAATCGAAAAATGAGTAAATAGCAAGAATAAAATGCAAGGACATTACATCCTTCATCCTGGAACCCTCGACTGCACAATGTCACAGAGTTCTACGAGCACCAAGGGCACTAAAGGCACACAATGGTCGTACAAACCATACGAAGAAAAAGGAAAAAGCTGTCAAATTACGGTAAAATTAGATGTTCATAATTTCCGTACAAAAACTACAACCCGTAAAGCTGCCTGGATCTTCTCGATCAATAAAAATGCTGCCATCATTTCCCTCAGGGTCTACAGCAATGTGGACACGCTGCTGTACCGTGAGATGCTCCGTACACAGTGACCCAAAAATAAATGTACATAAATTTTTTTTTTTTTTATCAGAAAAGTAAACTATGCACTGCTGAATGCTCATTCTCCACCCAAATGGGACACTAGCGGTCCAAAACAGGTGCCAGAGTTCCAAAACTAATCAATATCTTTATAAAAATTTACAGAACTGTCTAAAAAAATTTTAATTGGAAAAATGGCGGCTAACAGAGTCCTCAAATACACAAAGCTGAATGGCACCAGTCACCAAGCACGGAACTAATTTTGCCATTGAGATTTCCAGAAAATCATTTACGGCTGTTGAATAAGGCAACAGTTAGTTTTTAACTGGATCTCTAGCGTTACACTTTGAAGGAGAATTCAATTTCAATGACGCATAGCTTATTCTTGCAGTGAAAAAACAAACAAAAAAACCTAAGTGTTTTTCTTTTTGGACACACTATACGACACATAAACAACTGTTACACCTAAATGTTACAAAAATAAACACAAAACACGGAGACAAACAGAACATTGGCACGGTACCCTAGACATGACCCTTCCTTTGTACTCTCTCTCTCTCATGACTTTGTGGATTGCACTGACGTCAAGGCTCCGGTGCTTGAAGAGAGCTACCGGCGGAGACGACGCAAGACCAGTTTCGTGACTGTGGCGCTGTTCCCTCCGACACTAGCGGAGGGGATCTTGGACACTGCAGACCGACTCCGGGAGTTCCGGATTTGCTCAATCCACTACGGAAGGGTTGACCATGTAGTCCAGATATTCCTGCACCAACCTGCCAACCTTGTGGGGCAGAAGCCTGGAACACACACGTGCGAGAGGGTACGGGTTAAAGCTTGTGCTCGTGCCGTTGCGTGAGGCTATAGACATATTTTTATTAAAGCGCCGAAAGGAGGCACCGTTGCAGCTTTGTGTCCCTGCGAATTTCCGGTCTAACGAGAGAACAAACAATCTCCACCACATCACTGATTCTTGCGACGTTGGTGAAATATTTTACAATTAGTTCTCCAAATGGATTGCAAGAGATTTTCCGGTAATTTTTAATACTCTGGTAAACCTCACCGATCCCCTCCTGTATGTGAATAGCGCAGCAAAAGAACTCAAGTCTTCAACTTGGCGATTTCTGCACAAATTCGTTGTCCCGGGAGTTTTGACAACAACAAGCTTGGTAGGTACTCCTAGACGGAGTGACTGGAGGCCTTAGATGGCTTGCGTTCGTAAATAGAAAAAGGGCTAATGGAAAATGGACAGGTAAGTGAAATGAATAGACACAGGACTGCCTCACAACCAAACTCCAGAGGCTGGTTCACACGCTTGCATTTGGCTGCAGTTGAACACGTTGTGCAGTCTGCAATTGCTTACGACGAGAAAACACGCTGGCGCAAACTATGGGGTAGCCGTGGAACGCTAGAAATTCTAGTTAAATGCAGTTCCAGGGTCACATCATAGGTGGCGCCAGCGTTTCCTCTCATCGTTAAAGGGATACTGAACCGAAATTTGGAGCTCAGAGAACAAGGCTGGAGCGATAGGCGGAATGCTGCAAAACCCAATAACATCACTCGCACAGCGATATCTCCAACGGATGGCTGTATTTTTGGAAAAGTGTGAGATTGAACACGGTTGACTAGGCCTACGAGACACGTGACGTCACGGTTCTAATTCCCTCTCCTCTTTGCTTCGTCCCCTCGAGCAGGTGAAGCGAAGCGAGGCCGCTTCCCTTCATTCTCAAATGCTTGAAGAGAATCGTGACGTCACATACATCGCTTGATTGTGCCCTTCTTTTCCAAAAATACGGCCATCCGTTTGAGATAGCGATGTACAAGTGATGTTTTGAAGTTCGTAACCTACCATTCAACGTTCCTGCAGCCTTATTTTGCGAAATCCAAATTTCGGTTCAGCATCCTTTTGAAGCTCCACTATACTGTGACGTTAGCATAGCAAATGCATTGTTGCGCGGCACACACGTATATTGATTGGTTGCAGATATCAAGTTCCCGCTTGCCGGCCAACGAAAGGTCCACATTTTGCGTTACGCTGCATTCACTGCGCTCAACATCGGAGTATAACAGAGCCTTCAGCGATCACAAGGAAGCATGCGGAAGCACAATCCAGTCGGCTGCAACAAAATGCAAGTGCGTGAACCAGCCTCAAAAAACTTTGGTTGTGAGTTGGTACTCCATCTGTGCACTTCATTAACTCTTTCCTGACCATGGGAAAAATGCCCGTCTTGTCCGACGTTTGCAATACGATGCCATACATCGAAATTAAGCTAAATAAATGGGCCTTCGAATTATGCAAGCATCAAAGCAGACTCAAATTCTAATGCAAAATTTTATTTCTCGAACACAATATACCATCAAGAAATTGTTAAAACGTCTGGCAGCCCTCTGTGCACTGCCATTTTTGTTCCGTCGAGATTCCACTGCTGTTTGTCAATTCCGTGGCGTTGTCGGTAACAATCGAGGCCTACTGCTCACAGTCATCAATCCTCAACCACACCGGCGAGCTAAGGGTTAATATTGTCTTACGCTCTTCTTGCGCATGTATGTGCTCGTCGCCCCACCGTTCGCTGGTTTGTTGCCGCAACCGACATGGCGGACGTACACTTGAGCTTGAAATTTGGCTTCAAGTGCCGGTAAAGGCAAGGGCACGGCCGCCTGGTTTTCGAAAGAGCTTTCTTTGCGCGAGTGCTTGTGCAAAAGAAGGACTCTTCAGAGCTATGCTTTCGCGCCCTGGCCTTTGCAAGTGCCAAACCCAACTGGTGAGACGGAGCATGTTCTTCGGCACTCCACTAGATGGCGCTCTGCTTTTTGTATATGGTCTATTGCATTCCAGATCAATCTGAACCAGGTAAAGACATAAAGACATGACTATATATTGAAAGAAAAGCATGCAATAAAATTGAGTTATACTATATATATTCCTCATTTTCACAACAAAACAAACTATGCAGAAACTAGAGTTCTAGCTCAAGATATTCATCTACCAAAAATCAAGACAATCCTCATGACTGACGTGCCATTGGGCTGAGCAGTTTGTTTCTCAATATGGAGAACCACAGGTCATTGAACTAAAATTTGATAAACCTGGCTTCATCATCAGACCCACTGCTGCTCTCCGAATCCGGAAAATCAACGAAGATTCTCGAGAATTGCCATGCTTGCTAGTGCAGGCCAGGCCTGCCTCCCTGTCTCCCCCCCCCCCCCCCCCCCCCCCCAAAAAAAAAAAAACAACAAACAACTCTTGAATTGGAAGAAAAATAAATCCTGAAAAGACTGATCGCTACCTCTAAATAACAATGTTTGGCTTAAACTCAAAGGTGAATCTGTCAAAATAGGTGGAATCCCTCCACCGGGCTGGCAACAACAAATTGCACGATAGTCAAGGAGACACTGTTGACGGAATGTTAAGGGAATTCCACCACACTTGCAGAAAGTATCAGCTACTAATGCAAAGTAGCACCTGGCTCCGACTTACAGGGAGAGCCTGTGCATGAGGGAGAAGCTGGCGGGGAGGATGATAACATCCTCTTCCCTGAGGATCCTTGTGACCACCTCTTGGGCTGCCACCTGCACGTCCATCGATGGAAAGATGCTCGGGAACCTGAAGGAAGAGGTGCGCCAAGATCACATGAGCCGCCTATGGACACGAACCAGGAAGGTCCCGCATGAATTACATATATACATGTATGGGTGCTTTCTTCTCAAATGGGGCAGGCTAAAAGTGCGTAATTTATATTTTTTGCAATAAAAATATATGTTTTAGGGGCATTTCTAAGAGAAAGGAAAGTAAGAGAAAGGAAAGCAAAACAAACCGCAAATTTCCCATATTTCTTGTTCTCGAGTTCTGGAGCATAGAAAACGCTGTGACAGAAATTAGCGTTTTCCCTTGCCACAGCAGGACCTATGTTTGACACGCCTCTGCTGCCATTATTTTATTCGGCACATTGATACTTCAGTTTTATGTTGTTGAAAAAAAAACACTATCCCTAAACTCTGGCATAAAAACATGCTTTTTGAGTAAGGCTTGTTAAATTACGAGGCACTGGAGAAAACCAGCCTTCTGCGTTAAGTCCTTATTTTAAACTAATTTTGTTTGCAGTCCATCCATTAAAAATCATGCAGGAAGGGCCTCAGCAAGCACATCGTATTGCAGCACCGCAGTGTTCTTCCACAGCATAAAGGCCATCTGCTTTCATCGCCGTCACCATGGCAACGAATGCCGATTTTCTGAATGCCGTCTGCTAGCTAAAGTTTAACATTTTAGTAATGAGCAGCCGCAGACTGTCGCCGTGATGCGGCGTGAGCATAGGCAAGAGGGGGGGGAGGTTAACACGCCCCCCAGTTATACATGCGCCGCCCGAAAAGGTCATTCGGTGTTCGTTGCCATGGTGACCAGGCATGTAGCCAGGAGCTTGTCTCGGGGGGAGGGGGGCCGCCCATGACAAAAAGATGTATGAGGGAGAGGGGGGAGGAGGTCCCAGCAAAATGGAAGATTTTGGGGGGGGGGGGGGGGGGGGCCGGAATCTTCTGGAATTGCTATAGGTTTGATATCCCATGAAGCAATATTACATGCACTTTCTAGGAAATGAACACCCTCACGAGGCAGGTTAGGGGGAGACTGAGGTTCTCAAAATGATAACTCAAGGGTCGAAAAACAGATGGTTTATGGTTGAAAGTATGACAAAACTTTGACTATTGAATACTACTGTGAGCTGGATGGCTCGGTTCCGACAACACCTTGTAAGCATAAACCAGACTTGGATACTGCCACCTTTTTTCAAGGGACATTTCATTGGAGTCAGCATACAGGCTTAAAACAGGAGATGTCCTAGAAGCACCGGTTGCAAGGCGAAACACAAGGTGATGCACACGTCAAGCATTTTTAAGGCAGACGGCCGGGCAGATGCATACACGATAGTGCCACAACCAAGGCGCCATCGCACAAGAGAAGAGTACAAACGAAGTAGACACCTCCTATTGGAATCCCAAGACTTGAGTGAAAGAACTTTCAAGATGTTCACCGCCTGTAAACATTTTTGCTTCAGCCACTTGATGCAACATACAAAGTTAAGCTTGCGGTCAAAAATCACTCCCAGGAACTTATGCTCTGCTCTAACCGCAATGTTATTTCTATTTAAAGTAAGAATCGGATCTAAACAAAGCCCACGCCACAAAGAAAAGGGCACACAAACTGTTTTCTCTGAAGAAAACTTAAAACCATTTTCATTTGCCCATTTATTCATTTAATTTATGGTTAGCTGTAGCAGCCTTTCACAGCTAGACATATTACACAATGCAACAGAAATTTGAACATATTCTACATTAAGGGGAGTATGATACGGAGGAAGGTATGACCCAGCATAGAGAATCAATTTTTACAGCAAAGAGGATAACACTCAGGACTCCATTCTGAGGAATCCAGTTCTCCTGAACAAACAAATCAGAAAATGTTGTCCCTAGATGTACGCAAAAAGAGTGAACACATTAGAAGTTTTTAATACAGTTAAGCAATCTGCCGCATACTCCACACACAAAAAGGTCATGCAGGATGCCATATCCTCAAGTAGTATCGTAAGCCTTCTCCAAGTCGAAAAATACCTATAAACAATGCTGCCTGTTCACAAATGCCTCCCGTGCAAGTCTCAAGCCAAACTAAGTGGTCGGTTGTGGAGCGTCCAGGTCGACACCCGCACCGATTTACATCCAAAATATTTTGTTCAAGAAAGTAAACAAGACACTTGTTAACTAAGCTTTCATACGTCTTTTCCCAGGCAACTTGTCAATGCTATCGGCCTGTAACTTGTCAGGAGGGAAGGGTCTTTTCCAGGCTTCAATAGCGGAATCACTTCTGCCTGTTTACATTCGGTACGGAAGTATGCATCTTTATACAGGCCATTAAAATAAACGAGGAGAGCTGAGTGTGATTTCTCTGTAAATGATGAATCAACTCGTAATGTATGCGATCAGGACATGAGAAAGATTGCGTCCGGATATTCAGAGCCATTTGCATCTTCACGAGGACCTGAGATAGATTGCTTCCGGATATTCAGAGCCATTTGCAGCTCCACCATTGTGAACGGTTGATTGCAGGGTGCGGAAGCTCCTCCCGCCAAGCTGATTTTCGTTCTCTTTAGATCCGATTTAAACTTCAAAAGCGCCGAAGGGTTGTGCGAGGAGTTCGAAACGGCTGCAAAATGTGCACCTAACAGAATAGCCTAGTCATGCAATGAGGACGCAGATGTAAAGAGAGGAACTGTGAAACAGCGATATCTGCTTTTAACCTCATTAAGTCAGTCCCACACTTCCTTTGCTGGGACATAGCTACTAATATGAGACAAATATCCTTTCCAAGACTTCTGCATGGCCCGCTTCCTAGTCCAACGAGCTTGAGTGCTATTTCACTGAAACTCTATTAAAATATCTGCGAAATATGCCCCAAGACTTATCCTGTTTATTCTTGGTGGTGGAACAATCATCATTCCACCATGACTTACATTTTTTGGCAATTTTAAAGGAAGTCTGAGGGATGGAACAAAAAGCAGCATTAATTATCTGTTCTGTAATGTATACTGTGACTTCATCATGTGTTAAGGACTGGAACATGCGAGGTTTCAGGTCCGAGTTTAGGCTACAAAAACTCCAATCTGCTTTTTCCAGTTTCGAACTCTCCAGGACGACTGGAAAGTGCTCGCTTCCAAAATGGTTATTCAAAACTTTCTACGTAAATAAAGGAAACAATGAGGGGGATAAGAAAAAAAGATTGATAGATGCGTATGAATTGTGAGCTGCACTAAAAAAGGTTGGCTTTCTCTTGTTCATAAGGCACAGCCCAGATGATGACAAATACCGTTCAAGGACTGCACCATGCGAATCCTAACAGGCACTACCCCGCAAGGGATGGTGATCATTAAAATCTCCTAAAATTAGAAAAGGGTGAGGATGCTGTGTAATGAAGTCTTTGAAGATCATGAAGATGCAGTGGAATGCTTGGTGATATATAAATAGACACAACAGTGATAAGGCAGTCCAAAAGAAGGCGCACAGTCACAGCCTCAAAAGGCGTAGTGAGAGGAACCTGAGAGCAGGGAACCCTATTCTGAACAACCACGGCCACTCCACCAGATGAATTAGATGCAGGGCGATCTTTCCTAAAAACTTGATGGCAACGCAACACTCACTTATGATGATCACCAAGATGTGTCTTTTGTAAGGAGAGAGCAATAGGACGTAGCTCGTCCATGAAAAGATTAACATGTCAATATCATGTAAAAGATCGCGGGAGCTCCACTGCATAAAGAGAAAGTTTGCCATTCCTCTAAGGAAAAGTTAAAAGGTTGCTAAACCAAAAAGTATAACTAGGTAAGAATATGTAAAAAGCCGAATCTGCTGCACATGACGACAAAAATCAATGTCACATTGAAGGGATTACAGGTTTTTCGTTTTGTGTTTATTCTTAGAAGTCTGCCACTCCATGTCGTCTTGCTCAGATGCACGAGTGGAGACTCCTGTACCCTCATTCGTGGCCTCTGCTTCCTGAGGCGAGGCTTTTAATGCAGGTTGGGGTAGGTTTGGGGAAAGGGGCGCCATCCCCCTTCCCCGACCAACCCCAGCCAAAGGGGCGGAGGAGGTGCTGGGCGGGGGGCGTCGCACGAGTCCATCCGTTTCTGCCCCTTGTGGAGTGAGAAGGAGTGGCACGAGAGCCATGCCACTTTCTCGATGATGCTCTCTCCAGGGAGTGTGGGCGAGAGTGCCGACCCTTCTCCCTGGAAGGAGATTCCGGATTGGTTTGCAAAACTGCCTGAGAAGACAAAGGCTGTTGCCCTGTTGGAGCGCGAGGGTTCGCACTCTGGCTTGGACGGTCGGTAGACCACCCAGCCGAGATTGCACGCCCCGGAAGCTGAATCTTCAGCTGGGGACTGCCGCGGCTTCCCATATTTCAGAAGGAACGTTGGGGTTGCCACTGCTACCATCAGTGGGGCAGGCCCTCGCTGCACCACCTGCGCATAGCAGCGCTTGTGCAAGAATGTGAAGCGACGGCGTGCCTCTGGGTAGGAAAGATTTTCCTTGAGTTCTTTCCACTTTCTGCAGGATTGAGAGTATAAAGGGTGAGGATCACTGCAGTTTGCACAGTGTGCAGGATCCTGTGGGATGGTCAGTTTTGGCACATTTTGCACAAGTGGCTTTTCCACGGCAATGCTGGGAACCATGGCCAAACCTCTGGCATTCGAAACATTTAGAGGACTAGGCACATAGGGCCTAACCCTGCAGTGGAGATCGCCCTAACAGCCTCGGATAAGGGGTGGAATCATAAATTAAGACTACCGTATTTACTCGAATCTAGGCCGATAGTTTTTCCAAAAAAATTAAATCCGAAACTCGGGGGTCGGCCTAGATACGAGGATCCGGCTCCGCCATGACCGCGGGACGCCATCTTGTCTACATCACTTCGGGAAGATACGCTGTGTACCACGGAACGCACGGAACGTTCGTCTCTACTCGACGCTATGGCATCGACCAGTCGATGCCACTACTCCGCAGCTTTTAAGAGGAAAGTTGTCTTGGCTGCTGAACACTCGTCCAACCTGCAAGCCCAGCGCGACTTCGGCGTGGACGAAAAAAATGTGCGTCGCTGGAGAAAGCAGCGTGGTCAGCTCTTTGCATGTGTGGCAACAAGAATGGCATTCTCAGGACCGCGGAAGGGAAGGCACCACGAGCTGGATCGCGGCCGCATGGGACGACATCCCGGCGGAACTGATAGTAAAGTCGTTCCGAAAGTGTTGCATCTCGAATGCCCTGGACGGTACGGATGACCACGCGTTGTGGGAAGTGGACAGTGACAAAGATACGAGTGAGGACGACGAATGATCAGGAAAAATGCGGACATTAACCGTGAGCATGCCGTCGGATAAGTGACCGAAATAGTGCTGTACATTGCAGATAAATTCCGTTCTGTGTTTAATTTATGGTGTTTTTCCTATACTTTTTGGTCAACCTAGAATCGAGAATTTTTTTTTTTTTTTTTTCGGCCTTGTTGTTTTTGCGGGGTCGGCCTAGAATCGATGCCGGCTTAGAATCGAGTAAATACGGTATATGTTTTGTTTTCCGCTCTTATCCTGACGCAGGGAGACGTGCCTCGCAGCTACAACACCTTGGTCAGAGAGCCCTTCAACTAGTTCAGTGTCGGAAGACTTGATTAGGTCATCTTCAGAAATAACGCTCTGAATAGTATTGCATTTACGATAAGGTGTAGTGGTCACTTTGTGATCAGACACAGAGTTCAACGCAAGGAGTGCAGTACTCTGCTGTCTGGATTCAATTTCCACGAGTAGGCCACCTGAGGGCATGCCTCGATGAAGAAGGGGGAGGGAACGCAAGGGCCTCCTTGCACCTTCGTGTAGGCTTGCATGCTTTTAGCACCGCGGCCTTCGTAATAAGCGTGGTCGGCCACTGATGCACTTAGAATAAACCGGTTAAAAATGTGTGCATTTTGGTTGGGACCAAATCAAACTTCAATAAAAGCGATAATTAAGAAGAAACAATTTCGCTATAACGAAATCGCTTTTGATGCTCAGAGTGCTTCTAATTGAAACCATATGTCTGTTTTCACTAATTAAAAGGTGAATTAACAAGTTTTTAGTTTATTACTCACCAGACTGTGAAGGTTGTCCGCCGAGCTCAAGAAATGTATAGTGAAGACGGAATTCACGTAGCAGTAAAGACGCCTTTTTCTAAAGATCTGTTTCCAATAAAAAATATCATCCGGCATATAAAAAGGCGAGAAATAAAAATAAAATGGTTTGGCTTAAGTTTTTAAACCAAAGCCACCATCATTAATGTGGATTTAAAAAAACGATCAACTCGCACCGGAATCGCCCTGAAACCAGCTCAGTGCACAGCGCTCCTCGGTCGTGCAGCGCGATGTCGGTGCAACATCGAGGACAAACTGCGCCGCGCCGGTGCACCGCGACGAGCTCCACCTTGCGTCACTTCACGTTTTGTTCGTTTTTTCTTGCGCAGGTCAGCGCACGGTGCCCGTCTGCTGACAATTTCTTCTATTCTGTACTCGCGGATTTGACGGTCTCACAGAAATAAACATCGTGGACGTGATTGTCGATGGGGTCACGAAGCGGGTGACAATTCCACATATATATGTTGGCCACCATTATTGGTTCAAGAAAACGAAACACCAGATAATAGCCGTACCTCGCTGTCATCGAAACGCCTCGCGCGGCTTTCCACGAAGTTCATGCTTTCCGGACGCTCCTTGCCATCGCAGCAATCGCCAGTAATCGCGGCGATGGCGAGAAGCTCGTCGTCTCGCCGTCAGAAGACCCGAGGAAATCATCTAGTGCAGCTGCGAGGCGTGTTCGTTTTTGCAAGATCGCCATCTCGATAGTCTGCGCGTCTGCTACTCCCGCCATCTCCTCGATTCCCGCTCCTGGCCGCAATGCCTGATGGGACTGCCCCCCGGCGCACCGCCGATTTTCTTGGTGCGCGTTGGGGCAACGAAAAGCCGCACCGGGAGGGTGCGCTTCGTTGATCGAGGTCGTCCGGTGCGCACCGGTGCACTTGATCGAAGATGAAGGGGCGCACCTCAGTGCCCCGGTGCGCACCGGTGCGGATGATCGAGGATGCTATAAGTTTTTTCTATGCACAAGGGGAAAAACAGTAGAACAGTCTGCTTGACGCTGATACTCACATAGACACGCTTGGATCTGCTTTTCGGTATTCATCTCAAACAAGCTTTCACTATTTTGTACCATGTGGTGCCATCTGTGAGTAACAGCGTAAACCAGACTGTTTTTACCGTTTTTCTGTGTGCAAAGAAAACAAAATAAAGTTCTTTAACATTAAAGATTTTTTTTTTTTCTCCCGAGAGAATTTTTTGCATGATAAATGCATCATTTACAGACATCTTTGGGAAAATTTCATTGCACTCTGGTCATTGGCTTATTTATACAAATATTTTATGCCGAATAAAGCTCGGAAACACCTTGTAGAGAAGGGACAACTGCCGGTTGTCAGGGAACAGGGGCATTACCAGGTGCTGAGGAAGGGCAGCCCAGTGCACTCAAAGCCCTTGGACAGGATGGCGGGGCAGACGGTGCTGAGCCGGATGTTGCGTCCCTCGTCCGACTGGGCCAGTTCCCGTTCCAGGGACAGCATCAGCCCCATGATGGCAAACTTGGAAGCGCTGCAGGGTGCGAAGAGACGTGCAGCATTTTCTTTTTTTTTTGTAATTTGGAGCACTTTTATACTCTTGGCAACATTGTGGGAAACATGTCGAAGAACGTTTTGTAAAGGAAACTGGTGTATATAATTTTGTTTGCCTTGTTTTCTGGTACTTTCAAACTGCGGGCGTAATGTCGTTCTCGAATGATGCACACCAGGGCCGTAACCAGGGGGGGGGTTAGGGGGTTCTGACCCCCCCCCCCGAAATTTTTTTCTGTGTACGGCCCTGGTCGGTGCACTGGCAGCCAGCCGATTTTAATCTCCACCTCTGCGCACGCGCAGTGGCGCCGGTCGGCTACCGGGTACCAAACCGGGACCGGTTCTCCGGTTTGCTGTAACTCTCCATTATATGCCACCGATGCACATGATTCATAGGCAAAAATAAGACAATAGACACTTTCAAAATGGCCGCCGTTGTCCCCGAAAACCTCCCCCCCCCCCCCCCCCCCCGAAATTTTTTTCTGGGTACGGCCCTGATGCACATTACCTTTATCAATGCGAGTGTTTGTGTTGTTTCTTCTTTAAAAGGAAGCTACGGAGCTTCTTGAAAAAAAAAAAAAAGAGAAGTGAATTCTAGTGTATTTTTACCCCGTGAACCCGAATACCCATACCATTTGCTGCGCAAGTACTGTTAAACGTGAGAAAAACGCGAAAGACAGTCGCTGTATGTGACATCATCGACGGATCTTTTGGCTGCCCAAGGCTAGGGAGGCGGGGCTTCAGCCCTATTGTGAAATTGCTCGTATGGCTCTCCGGCGCATCGCATTGAAATATAATTGTGATATCTGTTATTTTAAAGGCCAAATGAATGCAATTCAAACGTTTTTTTCTACAAATGTAGAAGTACCCCATCTTCCCTTTAATTTAAGGCTACTGTTTTATTTCTGATCCAGAAGATCAAACTAGGAAAAACTCTCCTCTGTAAGAAACCAAATGAGGGTTGACAGTATTTCAAAATAAAATAAATATATTAATGAATATTACAATGAAACAAATTTTCTTTTTTCACTTTTAGCTAGCTTTGTGCTCAGGATAACCTGATCATGTTTGTACAAAACATAGGGAAGAGCTATTAGTCCTTGTTCACACCTAAGGGAACTAAAATCATCTTTGATAATTGATCCCTCAAAGTCCTCATTAGTTGTAAAATACTTAGGGAGTGATCATTTCCGTTCAAAAAGTATTGAAAGGAGGTATTTACTTAGCTCGAAGCGATGCACCACGGGAAGGAAAACTGCCCCCTGGCCACCATGCCATTGTCAAATTTGCGATTTACGGGAAGTGTTGTGTACGGCTAGCTGTGTCGTGGCGAGTTCGAAAACAAGCTGATTACAAGTGTAGTTTGCTCAAATAAACATTTATTTCATGCCAACCGTCGCACATAATCAAAAAAAAAAAAAAAAAATTGGCAGATTGTTGCGACAAGAGGCTTCGATGAAGCCGCCGGTTGACATCGACAGACAGGAAGCACTCGGCTAGATTCGAAGTTCCCATGCGATCAGCTTCTGACAGATGGGCGTAAATTTTTATGCGAAAGCTTTAACTGTCCCATGGAGTGAGCAGACGTCATCAGCTGCCGCGCCAAACAGCAGATAAATCCCCCCCTCCCAAGAGAACGAAGTGAAGCAGCGATCCGAGGTATCCCAGCTTTGAAACCGTGCGAAAAGCTGAGCCAAACGGCAAATTAATTCGCCTCTTAGTGAAGCCGAAATCTCATTGGCTGGTACGCGTAGTTACAGGGAACGAGACTCCCAATGGCCGAGGCATGTCAGTTTCAAGGCAAGCCGCTCCATGGTACTACGTGCCCACGTCAGATTTAGCCGCGCCAGACTGCGCCGGGAAAAGGAAGTGTTTGGCTGTCAGGGCTTCCCAGAGACAGCCCGCTCAAGCCATACTCTGGAGCGCGGCGCGGCCACTTCACAAGAACGACATTCACGCTTTCGCATTTACAACTGATAAGAAGTGCTTCGGTGTGCCTCGAATCTTTTCTAATTGCTAGCCTTTTACGTCAATAACAAAAATATTTGCCATTGAAGGAAGGGACGACGTCTAAAATTCCCAATATGCACACATTGAAAATTGAGGCATTGAACATTGCTTTTACGAGCCGGGTGAAGCCTCGGGGGCTTGTGTGCCTGGCATGCTTTAAAGATTTCGGTCAAAACACTTCGGGGTATTGTTTTTATCTGTTTACGGAAACAGATACCTGAACTAGGAACTTACGAAGGGATAGATAGCAAAATAGGTGGCATTGCATACGCCGCATGTCTTCAATTACCACTTAACACATTGTTTAAATTTTATAATTGTAAACGGGTACGGCTACAATTGTCGGTGCGAAGGGCTAGCAAAATTATCGCACTTGCTTTACGTACGAGGTAATCGTTCATTCCATTTACTCTACCTTTGAAACATCATCGAGCTACACACTCAATTGGCTGACACTCCATGCAATCGCGTCCTCCCAGTGCCACTGTGAAAGTTCTCGAGAGTACGAGTCTTTGGAGGGCTGTCCTCGCGCACGCTCGCTCAGTCGAGCACGTAGACGTTAGGGTTAGAACGTGCACAGCGACAGTAACATTCTGGCTGGGGTGGGAAGAGATGCCAGGTGTCGAAAATCCTCCCCCTGATGGCGGCTGTTGACTTCGATGGCGATTCAGTGGTGACAACAATGACTTGTGGGTATAACTTCTTTACAATGATTCACTAAGGAATGCGGATGACACATGCCCATTGTTTACGTTGGGGATATTTTCAGTCCTAAAACCCTCCTGCCCTCCCGCGACGGGGTCCATTTTTTGTCCCAAAAGGGGACACACATTCGTTCCGCGCGGAGGGGCGATGAGGCCACTCGCGCTAGAGTAGTCATGTTTGGCTTGCGCTTCCTCGCCACCTGCACCCTTCTCCTTGGAGTGGTTTCTCGGTAACACTAAACGGCAGCAAAAAATAAACAAACATTAAAAAAAAAGAACATAAAAAGCTGAGCTGCGAGGATTCCACATACTACTACTACTACATTTCTACTTGCCAAGATTGACAAGTAGAAATGTGTCTCCGTACGAGTCCGTACGCTCGCCAAGCACATTGAAGCGCGAAGCCTTGTGAATTCTCCCTATACAGCTATGTGATTTGTTTCCAACATCGGTTTTTCATAAACAGTCATGTACCGTTAAAGTGGACATCTCTGTACCATTAAAAATTGTCCATAATGTGAGTTGTCCACAATTAAAAAAAAAAACAGCAGTTTGTCCCCAAATATGTAAATATAGTGGGGTACTCTCATCAATAGGGCCCCTATTAACGAGAAAAGACTAATTTTCTACACGCAGACTATGCAACAAAACTTCAGTTTTGCGCCCGAAAGAGCGGTTGCATGCTGTGTTTAGGAAAACATGGCAATTGCGGAAAGCAGAAGTGCCATGCAAAAACATGACACTTCTGCTATCCGACAATTGTGCGACGGTTCCCGCAAGCGCTAACACGGTTCCCGCGGGCACCTGATAGCATCGGAAAGATTGGAGAAGTGATAGCGACGCCTCCAAGAAAGCCCGAAGGAGAGATAGGCCAACAAAAGAAATGTCGGGTCTTCGGAATGTTCAGGTGGAAGGAGGCTATGTCTGCCAAAAGGTACAATCCGATCCTGAAATGCACATTCATTTGCCGGAAAGATGGGCACACAAATAAAAATACTGAGCTGTGCACGGCTGTTTTTGCAGCTTGCCTAACCTAGCAAACTAAGTCAACCATCAGGGACAAGTACTGATTTTAGACGTGTTTCAGTGACATACTTTGTGCAATAGAAAATGCACTAAATGTCACTATAATGACAAATGTGTAGTACAGTAGATTAAGTTAAACAAAACGTGAGCTTCCAACTTACATTGTAGATACACCACACATAGAATTCGACACTGATATTTGCGCAGTGCATGAAGAAAAAGAAAGAGTGCAAGTGAGCTGATGAATGTTAATTGTGTCCTCATCCTGCATATTCTTCCTTTGACTCCTAAGTTCTTCTAAATCCTTTTACCCTAGACTCTAGCAGTTTTACGACATGATGAGAAAGCAGGATCTTTCGGGGGCGGGGAGCCCACGATGCCAAAGAACCTATAAGGCAGCAGGCTCAAGCTCTCTCACTAATCACACTGACATTTACGTACTAGTAGCGACAAATCGAAAGCACCCGTCTTTGAAACACTAACCACGTGCCTACAAATAAGGAATGCGACGGCATACCAGTATTCGGTGTAGTTTGCCGCCCCAATGAGCCCCGCCATGGACGACACGGCCACAATGTGCCCCTTGCGACGCTCCAACATCTTTGGCAGGAACTCCTGGATGGTCTGCGGTTCGGAACCACAAGAGAATGATTGTGAGCCGAATAGCAAGTTGGAATACACCGCCACTATCCGAGACCCCCCCCACAAAACGCTCACATTATACATAGAATGTGTTCAAAACCATTCTGCCCAATTCATAACTGTAACTTCATAACTATCATCGCACATCTACCATATCAGCAATGAAAATAACCTTGGGTTTGTCCGATCTCTCAGTTTGCAGAAAAGTATCCTGTCCGTGTTGATTTCACAAGACCTATCATCGTAACCCAACATTGCACAAGCTTCTCTTAAAAAAAAAAAAAAATCATCAAAATAAAGGAGGCGTCTCCCACTGTCAGGCTTCACGTCTTTATCAGTCTTTTCTACCTGTGACATTGCTGGAATGGAATTGTATTCCTGCACACTTAAAGATGCTATTTCTGATAATGTTTTGTGTTCTGATTAAACATTTTCTTTTTATGTGTTAACCTGCCTTTTTTTTATGTATGCTATTCGGACATTATAGCCCATTCCTCCTCTAATGCCTTTAGGTCCTGAGGGAATGAATAAATATATAAATAAATAAATAAAGTAACTTGCTGCATTTTCTAAGCGTTTGTATTTCTACAAGTTTTATTGCTAGTTTTAGTTGCTTTCTTCTGTGTTTGCAAGACAAAGAGGAGAGCTGCTAAAGCCTTTGTCTTTGCATTGTTTGAAAGGGCATAAGACGCAAAACGTGTTGTGCTTCTAATTGACACTTACCCAGAAGTGGGAAAGAGTGTTAACCTCCATGGTGCGTCTGATCTGGTTGGGGTTCATGTTGAGGATGGGCATGGACTGGGCAATGCCCGCATTGTTCACCAGAATGTCCACCTCTCCGATGAGTCGGCCAATCTTCTGAGCGACCTTCTTGACCTGGTCCTCGTCCGTCACGTCACAGGTGAACGAGAAGCCCTTGCCTCCATCCGACCGAATGCTCTTGGCGGTTTCGTTATTCCGAGCCTGTGGGGTTTCGTTCAAGGGCACAAACTTAGGCACCGGACCGTCTTAAGCCTGGTTCAGACAGTTGCGTTTGACTGTGGTTGACTGCATTGTGGCAGCGAGAAACCAGGACATCCCTGCTGCTTATATCGCGTACCAAGATGATTCCTTGAATTGGATTCCACGCTTCATACGAAGCAGTACAGATGTGCCGGCGACTCGCTTTCGGTTCTCGACGCAACACAGTCCAACGCACTCAAACGCACATGTCTGAACCGGCCTTTAGAGACATGCTGTTAAAGTTGTACAGAAAGCAACACAATCCACCCCTCTATTTTTGTCACCAGTTCGTAAAAAGTAGAAATAGTGCGTAGTATTCAGAATTAAATTGGAACACATTTTCCCTGTATTTTGCAAAGAGAGTAGGATGTTTCATTTCCAAGTTTATTTCTGAAATTTGGCGTGCAATAAAGAATTTAAAAATATCAGAGGTTCTGGATGACTACTGATTAGATGAAAGCAATGGGCTGGTATGTTCCTTTACATAATTGGCAGAAGTGGGAATTGTATTTGAGGTCTTACAAAAGGCCTGTACAATTACACAATATAAAAAGTATCGGAAAATAATACACGAAATAAGAGGAAAATCAAGAAATTGACGGACTCCCTAGGAGGAAAAGAAACCAGGAAGTTCTCATCATAGTAACCCCCCCCCCCCCCCCCCCCTTTTTTTTTTTCTTTTCTTGTCACGAGTTTGCCGTAAAGGCGATATCATTATCTTTTGCCCCGCTGCAAAAACATCCAACTTTTTTCAAGTAATTTTTTTTTAAAGTAAATTTAAAGAATGCTCCTTTCCATAACAAAACGGCCGCACTTTTTTTAAAGAGAGAAAGAAAGAGAGAGAGCGAGAAAAAAAAAAAAAAAGAAAAGCGACGAATGGAAGCGATATCCGATTTAAAGAATGCTCCTTTCCATAACAAAACGGCCGCACTTTTTTTAAAGAGAGAGAGAGAGAGAGAGCGAGAAAAAAAGAAAAAGAAAAGCGACGAATGGAAGCGATATCAGAGCGAGGAACGAGATCGGACTACGAGAATGATCGTCTTCAAGGTTAACTTCTTCGAAAAACAAACAAAACACCTTTGGTAACGGCTACACGTGCTACATGAACTTTTTTTTTTTTTTTTTTTGCTTCTTAATTTTGTTTTGTTTGACAGTTTGGCGAAAAGTGCAATCTTCTATTCGTATGCCGGCTACTTTCATTGTTGAATGTAATGTTGTTTTTTTTGTAGTAACACGGCACCACAGGCCGCATGTGCGAGCCAACGATCCTTCAGTGACGTCGCAACCCCTCAGGGTTATATAAATACGTTATTACTACAATACCACGACTCGAACAGTGCGTGCCCACTTTTGTTTGCATCGACCTAAGCTCACCTGATCAATGTCGAGCAGCACCACTTTCGCCCCGAGTTCGGCGAATATGCGGGCGATTTCGCGTCCCAGGCCGCGTGCGGCTCCGGTTACGACAACGACGCTGTTGGCGACGTTCTTCTTCTGTTTGGGCACCAGCAGTCGAAAAGCGCACTCGGCCAAGGTGTAGGCGAGGCGAGTCACCAAACGCGCCAGCTCGGCCGCGAACAGAAACCAGTTGAAGAGACGCAGAAGCATGGCCGAAAGCAAAGACGGCATACGTGCCGAGAGTTCGCGTGGAAGCTCACCGCTGCTGCAATGGATGCACCAACTTTCTCAGATTACTGCAGGCATGCTCACCACAAAGCCCAGTCGCGTCGTCAACAAACACGTGAAAGCGGGAAAGTCGCTGGGAAGGCCGGGGGAAAAACAAAGAACAAAAGGGGGTGGGGCTCGAATATAATCGCGTTCGCTTCCTCTTCTTTTCTAACGCCGCGGTCGAGGGTTATGACTCCTCTGAACTGTATTTTTATCTTTGACGTCATAGATACAAGAAAGGTTGGGCAAAGCCGTGTCGCGTAGAATCACACAGAGTCACTCACCTTGTCATGCCTTGTCACCCACCAAGTCAGCTGTTTATACAAAACAAAAAGTTAAAAATAAGTAATTATCAGCAGCCATTTTGTGGTAAATAAAAAACAACAACGATATTTACTAAGTTTACTACTTAGTCATGGCGTCTAGTCTTGGTTTAGCAGATTTACGTGTTCAAATCCAATGTCGGCAGACTCAGTCAATCAAATCCCAATCCAATCCGTTGTGGCGTGCACCTTCTGCTTCTGCCCTTCTGCCGTGAAAGCGTGTTTCTCTTTGCGGCGTGCGTTCAGGCGTACTGTAGCAGGGCCAACATGGGAAAGGCTAGCAGAATCAAAGTAGGCAAAACTCCGCGTAATGTTCCCCTCGACGAACAGATGAAAGATGACGTGAAGCCAGGAAAACTTAGGAGCAAAGTTCGCCACCGGCAAGACGACGACGAAATGGTATGACGCATTGGGAAACTTGACACTCGCTCGCCGTCAAAGCGTGTTGCGTTTGAGTGGCACGTTCATTGTTCTCTAAACAACATTTCGCAGTATGTGGATGACAAGTTGACGAGAAGGATCTTGGACCAGGCACGGAAACAGCAGGAGGATCTTGAAGAGGAGCATGGGCTTGGACCTAGGTAAATCGGCTACTTTCTACAACATTCAGGGGGTTCGGTGGCCAACTCTGTTAATGTGGAGCGAAACCTCGCGCTGCAGAACACGGGGATCCTGGATTCAACCCCCACCCTGCCTGTTTCGCTTCGATCCCCACCCTGCCCATTGCCCATCTGTAATGCACGAGAGCATAGCCCCATACAATCATACTGCATTCACTAGATTTGTCATCTGCAGTCGAGACACTATGCGCCCATTGGTGTTGACTGACTTCCTGCCGTGGTAACATGCATACAGCACAACTGCTTTTTACAGCGGAGCTGTTATGATCTAGTTTCCTCAGCATTGCGTCCGTCAGCAAACAAATGATGACACAAAACTCTCGACAGCTACCGCCATCTATAAGCGACGGCGGCAAATTTTCCAGATTTTCCACTCCGGCTTGCCGACTTGCGGCCGGCCATTACTTCATTCCCACCATAGTACAGCTTCGCAGGTCTTCCTTCTTGACCGAGTTTAAAGGGTGAAAGTTTTTTTCTACGACATACATGATTTTGAAATTTCTTAGACCTAGTACAACCATCGCGCAAATATACTCTGGCAGACCCATTGCATCAATTATAGGCACAGTTTTGTAGCATGCATGCAGTTACGATGCAAGTACAAAATTGTTTCCCAGAATTGATTTGTCCTACCAGTACATTACTCTTCTCACGAATCAACCCCTCAAAACAATATTGCTTCATCGTTTCAAGACCTCCATGCACTCTGTGAAGCCACAGTCTCCAGCCAACCTCCTCGTGTCGGAAATCAATCAAAAGCAGTGACGGTCCCGTTTGTCACAGCCCCGCGATAGTGTAGCTGAGAAAATTGAACCTAAAATTCGAACAAGGCATGTCAAATGTTAGAGGTGTACGAAAGCCGTCTTTGACCTTGTTTTATGACCCTAACGAGATCTACCTCCTTCTTGAAATCTAAAAATTCTGCAAACTATTTGCATATGCATCCCGCTTATAATGCACGATCAAACTCTGGCATGCTTTTTTTTTTTTTCACGCCGAGCAAAGCGAAGTGGACGACTTTAATTGCGCATTATACACGGAGGCAAAACACTTGTCAAAGATGGGCGTACCTCTAACAGAAAACAAAACCTACACGCCAACCTGATTTCTAAGGAGTGAAACTATGCGTGCGAGGTGGTTGGGAAACATTGTAATGTAAACCCCGAGACACGGAGGAATAATATAAGGGAGAAGACGCCTGTTGTTTTATTTCTTTGTGTCTCGGGGTCTAGACCATGCTGATTTCTATGCCTTTGCTTTGAATGCTTTCAGCTGCAGTTCGACGGCGAAAGAGAAGGCGGCGCCCCAGGTCAAGCTTAAGGTGCAGGCGCCAGGAGCAGACTCTAGCGACGACGAGGAGTTGGACGACGTACCTGAGGACGACTCTTACTACGAAACAATCGTGAGCTTGTCTGGATTTGGGCGGACTACCCGGGTGGCATGCAGAGTAATGCGTAACTTGGTACAAGCTTTGCAATCCTAGGGGCCTAGCTTGGTCCCGATATGGTTTTGCTCCAAGGCATTAGTGCCAGGGTACTTTTCTTTGGATCGCCACCTAGCTTCCCAGGTACCAGACTGGAGCCAAAGATGCCACAAATGAATCGGCAGTGAAGCCTGACCCTGGTAGTTATTAGGTGATTTAGGCACAAAAGATGCCAGATGACAGCTAAACAACTGGCGGTAAAGCTTAACTTTGGCACTTATTTGGCGAGTTGGGGCCAAAGGTACCCAGACTCTTGCCAAAGAAGGCTTTTAAGGCCCTATGTTCCCAGACAAAAAACAAATTTTGGCCCAAAGAACTGCGCCACCTGGGCATTGACGCTTGCTCTTCCTGCAGGAGGTGGACGAAGCGGACGAAAAAGCGCTGGAGATGTTCATGAGTGAAAACAAGGAGGCACGGCGCACCCTCGCAGACATCATCATGGAGAAGCTAAAGGAACACGAAACTGAGATACAGTCGCGGTATTCAGGTAAAGGACGAAGCTTCCCTTCCCCCCCGCATTTTAGGGGTTTTGCGTGGAACGCCTGCCTGCAGTTTTTCCTTCCACCGCCACCATTTCCAATGGCTGGAGCAAGCTACCCAAATCCAAGGGTTATTTCATGGATTGTCTTGTCATGTCCACTAAACCTTGTACCGGAGCCGCTGCTTCCGTTGACAGATGCAAAGAGGGAAAGATTTTCAGCCTTGCTGAAGCCTCTGTTACAGGTTGTCAACAAATCTGAACTGAACCCAGTTCTGTAGGCTCTACAGAAGTGGAATCAGTTCAGCCTTGTTGCTCTACGGCGTCGAGCAATGTTAAGTAGCCTAGCCGAGATTAATTACAAAAGCTGACTCATTTAGCTAAATACAATGAGCATCTACACTTGTAACTAATTATAATGTTGTATACCTAGCTTGCAGTTACCTGCAGCACTTGAGAAGCATCCATTCAAACGTGACATTACAAGGCTCATAGTTATTGGATCCAGTGAATTTTAGCTTCGCTGTCAAGGCCGTTAACGGAGTGGCTATTGGGGCTGTGCAACCTCATTGGCCTCGGAGCATGGAGCAAGTAACTCCTCTTGGTCTGACTGCCGCCATAAAACTCAAGCATGCCATTGCACACCATCTGTCACCCACAGATGCAGGGAGCATTCAGATGGCCGACCTCGACCCAAAAGTGGTGGAGATGTTCCGTGGAGTCAAAAAGGTGCTGAGCCGCTATCGCAGTGGCAAGCTCCCCAAGGCCTTCAAGATCATCCCGGCACTTTCGAACTGGGAACAGGCAAGTGTCGCTTTTCACCTTGTCCTGTTCTTCATTCCCATTGCTGGCTATCTCTTGTTCTTTGTTTCTTCTATGATCCCTGTGCAGTGTTTTTTTACCTGGGCATGGTGATACTGGAATATCTCGAGAGATGCCGCAGCTCCGAAGATAACCCACCCCTACTTTTAGCTTGATTTGCTTTTTTTTTTCCCTTTGAAACACCAAAATATGGCATAGGCCACTTCTGGTAATCGTAGCGTTCGGGTCAATTGCTGCATTGGCAGAATTGGAACTAGTTAGCTTTGGCAGAATAAAAGCGAATGTTGCCCACTTGGAAGGACAGTCATCTTTGCTTCATTGCCCCTTGCTGCAGTAACAAGTTTGGCAGGGACAGATAGTCTAAAATTATAATTTTAATAAACTTTTCTTGTTCACTCACCGAAAGTTAGCCCACTCCTTATTCTTGCCCAATCAGCTCCTGATTTTAGGTGGGCTATTTTTTTGGATACTATGGAAGTTAATCTTCCGTGTTGAAGATGCGAGCAGAAATGTCTCGGCTGCGGATACTTCTGCGACCAATGTGTCGTCTGCTACAGGTCCTGTACCTGACAGATCCGGACTCCTGGTCTTCCGGAGCCATGTACCAGGCAACTCGCATCTTCGCGTCCAACCTCAAGGACAAGATGGCACAGAGGCAAAATGCGCCGGCAGTGTTCGCATTGGGTCACCCAGCTGCAACTAGAACGAAATTCCCTTTGCAGGTTCTACAATCTGGTCCTCTTGCCACGGGTGCGTGACGACATCTCAGAGTACAAGAAGCTCAACTACCACCTGTACCAGGTGAGTAATGAATGTTGACTGATATTGACGATTATGGACTGATATTGACTAGTGATAGACTGAATCTGCCGAACTTCCGATTCGGCAAAGTTCGGCACATGCCAGACTTTTGAAGAAAAGTTCGGCAAAGATTCGGCAAACGGGTACGAGAATGCGACCGGGCCATGAATTGCAAATGGACGCCGTGTGGTTACCATCGTTCAGTGTAGGAGTAGGCCACGTCGAAGGCAAGAATGTTTTTCGGAGGGGGGAGGGGGGCTGAGGTAGCTTGGGGGGATGATGGCTGAGATGTTCATGACTTGGGGTGCAGACAGGGGGACAAGGGTCAAAATGCATGTGTGAATTTTAGGGTTGGCTGGATTTTGGGGGAGGGGGGCGGGGGGCAGCTGAAGCCCCATAAGCTTCCCCCCCTGGCTACACTACTGTAACTGTGGGTTTGTCAGCCTTTGTGAGTGTGGTTCCCTGCAATATTCTCTGCCTCAAGAACAGAAGATTGACCAGACATTGACACAGTGCGCTGCGCAAGTGACACATGATGCGGTACATTTTGGATAACATGATTTTAATTTCATCTTTCCAGTGATACAACATTGACTGACAAGCACTTTAAGGCACTCCTCGCAATTATAGAAATCCTGTTTTTAACTCACAAGTAGTTTGCGCCGAAAAAAAATAATATTGCTTTTTCATTGGCGTTATTTTGTGGGTTTCATCGATGCACATAAAACTGAACACAGAACCATCATGCTTGACGTCGCACATCCGACATTCCTAAATCTTCCCATCTTCCTAGACGTCCGCTTGCGTCGTAACGTCAGAAACCGGCATTTTAAAAGTTAAAAGAACACATTGCGAATATCGAATGCACTTTCACGCAAAGCTCGCGTGTAGTGGCTGAAATCGAAAAACATGCATACTTACAATAATCTAGTTATCTCTTCTGGTGGAGGCTCAGCAGCCATTACATTCATTTTTGCACACAAAACAGTGACCTGCAGAGAAAGTAAAAACACGGTGCTACCGCCTTTATTTTAACAATGTACACACTTGCAGGCTTGGGCTGATGAGGCCTTAAAACCGAAACTCGCGTGTCGTGACACTGCCCGCTCCTATGCCCAACCTTGTTGTTCCACCACTCTGCAAGAAGTCACTGTAAAATTGCCAGTAAATACACAAAAATTACACTGATACAATTATCTTGTAGAATATCACCTTATTTAGTAATAACTGTGTCAATATGAATTATACGTTGCCAGTAAAAGCAAGATGTTAACTTTTAATTCTGGCAAAAATGTATTTTTGCGGAACCTTTGGAAAAGTATGGCAGAACTTTGGCTTTACCGAATCCAAGGATTCGGTGGCCAATTTTAGATTCAGCAAAAGTTTGGCCGATCAGAAGTGACGTCGAGTGATCGGAATTCTTAAGTTATTGGTAATTTTGGCCATGGAGAGATGATCTGCAAACCCACAGTTAGAGAGGCGAGTAAAGAAGGAATGCTAGTTTAGAATACATAGTGCGAGCAGAATGTCTTAGCTCTCCCAATGTTTGAGTCTGCGCATTGTTCCATCGTGCCAGCTTTAGCATCTACGTCCAAAATGGGTTTCCTTTGTGCATAAATTGGGGTGAAATTGCATTCCTTGCTTCTTTTGTGCCTCTATGTCGAAGTTGGAATCTTTTTCTGATCACAAATAGATGGTGGCATTGCTGCAAATTGGCTGCACTTTGGGGACGAACGGCATTATGAACACGTCTCCTTACCTCTCGACGCATTTTTCTAACCTTTCGCGACGTATGTCAGTGTCCAAGGCTAGAACGTTGAAGCCTTTCTGTCCTGCTCCAGGCTCTACGCAAGGCGCTGTTCAAGCCAGGAGCTTTCTTCAAGGGCATAGTCCTTCCCCTCTGTGAGGTAAGCGGTGACCAAACACCATTTTGACACCCGCAAAGCGAACGTGAAGGCGTTGGGAACCTCCGACTAACTGAAGCGATTGCGAGGAAGACCTCTCCGATGCGATGCGGTCAAAGCTATGCAAGCATTTTTTTCCGAGCTGCCACAGAAAGCAGTCCCCGAGCATACAGAAGGCTCGCAATAATTCAAACAAATTCAGAAATTTTGGTTATCCTGCTATGTTTTTATATGTATTCATAAGCCGCACAATTCGAATGGCGTTTTTGTGTAATTCATACTTTCGTTCTCGCAACCCCGCTGAGTGCGCTTCTTTTCGAGCACTGGTGCACTGCAGAGAGGCAACACCCGCGAAGCTTCTTTCGTGGGTGTTGCATCTCTGCAGTGCTCGGTGAGATGCGCACCCAACGTGGCTCAAGCAGGGCACACAGGAGCTATGAAAACTGGTATCATGCGGAAATTTCCATAGCAACTTGCGCGGACGTTGTATCGTGGCAAGTTGTTTTGAAAACTGTCGCGTTGCGCCCGTTTTTATTGCTCATGTGTCCCCTGCTTAATAGTTCATATTAGATAACTTCTTGGCCTGATGAACAAACTAAATTTTTTATCTCGAGTTGTCATGTGTTGTCTAAACAGTCCACGATAAACAACATTTTTGAGGGATAAAAAAATGTGTCATACATTTCGCAAGTGTTTCATGTGTGGCATACCTGCTTATGATTAGCAGGCCTATGCAGAGGAAATCATTGAATACCGTATTTACTCACAGAATGAACGCACTTTTTTTTCCGAAAAATCGATGCAAAGTTAGGGGGGGGGGGGGGGGCGTTCATTACGCGAAGTAAAATTTTTGCGTCCGTATTTACTCGCATAATGAACGGACCTTTTATCCTGAAGAATCGAAGTAACATCATATCTCTTCGCGCGCGGCGCCCAACCCCGTAACCAAACTAAGCTCTGCAAAAAAAAAAAACTTTTTTTATATTTTTTTTGCCGCTTTTAGCAAGCTGTTTTGTTTGCTTGGGCGAGGGCTCTCCGCTTATCTTTCTTATCTCCATGCGCTCGACGCACGATCCCCCGTAACCAAACTGCGCTGTGCAAAAAAAAAAAAAAAAAAAAAAAAAAGCTAATCTTTTTCTCTTTGTTTAAAGGTTTTTTTTTTTTTTTTTTTTTTTTTTGCCGCCTTTCGCAAGCTGTTTCGTTTGCTTAGAGGGCTTCTCCGCTCCTCTTTCTTACCTCCTTGCGCGCGACCCCCCCCCCCCCCCCCCCCCCCCCTCAACCAAACTGCGCTGTGCAAAAAAAAAAAAAAAAAGAAAGAGCTCCTCTTCGTGTTTGTTTTCTCTTAGTTCCGTGGGTTTTTCTTTTTGCCGCCTTTCGCAAGCTGTTTCATTCGCTTAGAGCGCTTCTCTTTCTTACCTCCTTGCGCGCGTGGGCGCGCGAAACCAAAATCTAAACTGCGCCCGTGCAAAAAAAAAAAAAAAAAAAAGAAACTCCTCTCTATGTTTTTTTTTCTTGCTTCCGTTGCATCTTTTCGAATTTTTTTAACGCCATTTGCAAGGCGTTTAGTTCGCCCACGCTGCCCATGCATTCGCGACCTCGCTGCACCAGGATAGAAAAGTGCGTTCATTTCGCGCGGGGGGGAGGGGGTCAAAATTTTGACATCCGAGTTGGGAGTGCGTTTATTACGCGAGTGCGTTCATTGTGCGAGTAAATACGGTATCTGCTTTATATGTGTATTCATATGACAAATCATAATTTTATCTCATTTTGTATTTAGATGAATTTTTGATAATTCAAACAAAATTTGTGGCTTCCTGGAGTTTGAATTAATGAAAGTCTACTGTACAGGCTTCTTTCCAAATCTTCGTGTGTTGAGGCATATCCTCTTCGGTTAGCCCACATATAGTCTTAAGAGAAGTTGAGAAATTTAAATAAGGATGGATCACACATACATTCCAGCACTGGTGCAGTGCTAACTTGAACGTAACACTGATGCAGTGCTAACTTGAACGTAACACTGATGCAGTGCTAACTTGAACGTAACACTGATGCAGTGCTGTATTAGCGTTGTATCACTACTATACGCTGCACCAGCAAGGTCAGCACTATTTCCAGTGCCGACTAGTAGTGTTAAGGTAGTGCCGTGGTGTATGCGTGAGCAGGCCTTGTGTTAATGGTGGGCGCCCAACCTGCAACCCGTAGATTCCTGGTCGCGTGTAGACAACCGCCAAACTTTGGCGCTCCGTGCAATACCTGCGCGATCCGCACGCATGACCGCGGCCATGCACACGCAGTCCGGGACGTGCACGCTGCGGGAGGCCATCATTGTGAGCAGCGTGCTGAGCAAGAACTCGGTGCCGATGCTTCACGCCTGCGCCGCCATGCTGAAGATTGCCGAGATGGACTACACGGGTGCAAACTCCATCTTCCTCAGGGTGCTGCTGGACAAAAAGTACACCCTGCCCTTCAGGGTGATAGACGCCATCGTCTACCACTTCCTCAGGTGAGGGCCGAGTCACTGGCAAGTTTGCTCGAATTGCTCGTGATTGGCACGGTTGCATCTGTCATCTCAAACTGAAAAAAAAGCCCAGTCTGTAATGTAGGATTTATCTGGAATTCAGAAGCGACAATCTAGTTGACACTCAAAGTGTGTCTTCTAGCCAGTAGCTAGACTAACCGTGAAAAGAATAGAGAGAAAAAGACAAAAAAATGAAAATAAAAAGAATTACTATTAACCGAAGAAGAAACGAGGATTTCACCTAAAATAGCAACTGTAAAAAGCTGCAATTGCAAGAAAAGTATGGGATGGAAATGGCACTTTTCCTTTAAGTTAGAAGTTCTAGGCAGAGATTGGTGGTGCAGGCTTGAACGTCAGAAAAAGAGCAACAGTTAATTAGCGCGAAGACGACGCTACCACTTTGAGCATTCTAGCACCGAATTTTACCGCCTAGGTCGGCGTCACAAGTCGTCACTTTCCATTAACCGGTAGCTCTAAAGAGAGCCTGGCGATTGCTCACTAACCGTGTCGTGCTCTACCATTCTGTAGAACTTCTTAGCAAGCCTTTGCTGCAATGTTTGGACCGCAAGCAAACTGTTTGGAATGGGTGCCACATAAACTGGGCTTGGGGCCACGCCGTCTGCTCCAGGTTCGAGCGGGACAAGCGGGAGTTGCCCGTGTTGTGGCACCAGTGCCTGCTGACTTTCTGCCAGCGCTACAAGGGGGACATCTCCTCGGAGCAGAGGGACGCCCTCCTTGCACTCCTCCGGGTCCAGACCCACCACAGCATAACGCCCGAGGTGCGCTGGGAGCTCCAGCACTCCCAGTGTCGCGACGCTGAGGTGCAGCCGCCCGAGAGGGAAACGCCGGTCGAGCTCGACTGAGCGCCGCTCCCCCCAACCCGCCTGTAGTAAAGCAATTGTTTCGAGAACCTCTGTTCCTTGTGCACCTTATCCACGGTCGCTCGTGATTAGCTACAACTCGCAGAGTTGTCTCGGTGCATTATTGAAAGATGTTCCGAACTTCGTTGGTTTCTGAAAGAAGGCTCGCGCGGCATCATTCTACGTCGCACATGGGTATGTCGCTGCCTGTTTGCGGTTGAAAATATCGAAAATAAATTTGAGCTTCGTAAAGGATTTCGAATGCGTAGCGTTTATAGGACTAGCTTGGGGGATTTTGTGTTTGGCATGTAGCCTCGATGACATCAGTGTTATTCGACTTCATGCCGTCGTGCGACAATGATGTTTGTGACACCATGACGAGACAGTGTCGTGCGACAGCTTTTACGTTCGAGGCCAGCCCTTTTGTAGTCTAACTGCACCATGGTAGAAGCAAACATCATTGTTGCACTTTGTGATGCGAGGTCATTCGACTGCAGTCGCATGAATTCCAGAACCTCAAAGGATTTCAGTCCTCTTTGTGAGGAAGAAACAATTCATTGTTGCCACACTACATGCAAGCGTACGACAATCCTGGCAGAATTGGGTCGTACTGAAGATTCACAAATATGTACGACTGGCCTGGTCTCTGTCAGTTCCTTTATTTACACAATCAAAGTGCACTGTACGACACACCGCTAACGACCGACTCAATTCAGTGCAAACTAACATAAAACTAAAACGGGCATAACAGTAAAGAGGGCAGTTTGTTGTCAAATACAAACTTGTAGAATTCATGCTCAGAACAAGTGGCATAGCCACGGTGTAAATAGGCCCCGCAATTTTCTTAAGTCATGTTCTCTGCACGAGGGCAGAAAGGACAGAAACATTGGCTGCAATTCATAGACGATTGCTGGTTTTTACTTGACAGCAGCGGTTCTCAAACTGTGGCCCACGGACCTCCAGGGGTTCTCGAGTGTGTTCATAAAGGTCTGCGTAAAGTAATGAAAAAAAAAATTATAGAAAAAAGGTTGCCTGTGCTACCGCACAAGACCTCCGATGCAGAATGCATTTGGGGTACCCGAGGGCCAAAAGCTTGGGAACCGCTTCTTTGCAGCCTCCCAGCTTTTTACTATGTCCCGAATATGCATAATGTTTGGGAAGTGTGTGCACGCAGGTAGGCAGAGCGAACTGTGTCGGCGATGCTACATCTTTACAAGCACCTTCAAACCATTGAAGAACCAAGCTGCTTTGTACAGAGCAATTCATTAAGTGATAGCAATATGCCGGTGCTACGTCCGACAAATTGATGCTTGCCTGCCGCAATCCAACGCCAGAATCGATAGCTATTTACATAAGATCTCATTCGGATGGTCCAGCCAAGAAGGCACACAGCCATATTGCAATCACTAATGCGCGACGGTATTACGACTGTTTCTTGCCCTGCCTGCGGTTACGTGCGAGACTCGCAAAACACTGAGTGACTTCTAACTCGATACTGCATGCGTGTGCCTCTTCCGAGGCGGAGATCCAGACCAATAATCAAAACTGAGCACCGACATCCGGAACAAAACGCTGCCTATGGCGGAAGAGGTTTAGTTTCAATTTATCTACGGTTATGGACATTCCAAACAAAGGCAATTCCATCTCAAGGCCGATCCAAATGTCGCCGCAAGCAAGCCGCCAGACCTTTTGATCGACCAAACGCAATTGCCCTGCACGTAAGGTTTTGGAAGGCCGGAGCCCCACTGGAGCAACAAACAAGAACGACCAACATCGACAAGCTCCAAGCACGTACAGCGTGCATGCGAAGGCGTATTTGGCAGGCTCGTAATCGCTCATGCTTACTTCGCGAGTGCCGGGAGGCTGCAAGCCCGGTAAAGGTACTGGCGGGGGGGGGGGGGGGGGGGGGGGGGGCAATACGAGATCACACATTTCTTTGTGCTTCATTGGTATACCTGCCTGATTTTTGAGAAAGCTGCAATCCAAACTAGGAACGGAACGCTAAATGGAGAGCCCATGCTTTGTGCTCTTTGCCAAATTGAGAAATGATAGAGCTTGTGGGGACCGCATACGCAGAAAAAGGTTGGATCGGGTACTTCGGCCGATGCTGTTTGCGGGGGCACCCTCGTGAGCATGCTGCACGTGCTTGGGGCTTGTTGGAGTCGGCCGTTTCCGTTTGTCGCTCTAGTGGGACTCTGGCATTAGAGGCCACCCGAGTTCCTAAGCCATCCCCTTCAGAGTCCTACGAAGGGGCTAACTATCTTTGGGTTCTGTCCGTCGGCCGTGCGCATTCACCAGTTCCGGTTGAGCCAGAACAGGCCCTTGAGGAGGAAGTAGAGCAGCCCCACAGAGTACAGCACCACCTCTCGCTGTTGCCGCTGTTGGTTTTCCTGCTCCACTGCCACCAGCCGCCGGCTCACGTTGCGGATCTGCCTCTTCAGCATTCCCAGCTCGTCGTCCGAACCCGGAATCCCTGGCGGTGTGGCGGGTGCTGATCTGCAGAACGAGGGACGAGGCGACCCTTTGAAGGGATGCTGAACTGGTGTCCAGGGCTCAATTCTATGGCTGTTATGCGTGGCGCCAATCTCTGAGACGCAAGCAACGAAGTTCTTATTTTAGTAAGCAATGGACCTGAATGGATGGCAGCTGTTCCCTTTGAATCGGGCCATGACTTGCGCCACCTAGCCAAATGCCTTTTTTTACTTTACTTTTTCTGACTGATGAGCGACGTCTGGGAGTTTGTCTGGAAACTATAAATGAAGGGCAGCCCAACATGCCTCCGCCCGTCGGATCACATAGGCATCGTGCCGTTGTATCGATTTCATTGCTCCTAATGCCCCATATTACCAATGCTCAAAAAAAGAATTGCCAGAAAAGACTAAATGCGCGCAAAGACAAATATGTCAGGGGAAAGGGTTATGCATGCACAGAGGCTTACTGGAGAAAGGTCCATTCCTTCCCCTACAAATTAACTAAACAACAACATAAAGTGACATCATGGTCTCTTAGCTAAACTGGAACCTGGTATACCGTCTTTTCCAAATTCTGAGCTGAAAATTCGATATTGAGGGTTTCCACCGCCTTCTGTGTGCTCTATCCTGTGAAAAGATATATTTCCTGAAAATTCTGTAAATATACCGTGACGCATATGAAACCTTGCAAAAAGTAATCTTAATAAAAAAAAATCAAAGAATCTATACTCGTTTTCACCTCAAGAAAAAAGGACGTTTTGCGCATTGTTCACACGCCGGGCGAAGTAGTTCCTACGAAATTTGGTTGTCAGGGGAAAAAGCGATGCTTTTAGAGTTCGAAACGCTTACGTCTTGGTAAGATAGCATGTATGTAATCTAAAACTCACCGAGGGAAATTAGTAATGCTCCGCCTGGAGCCGGACTTTTTTTACTATGGTTCTTGAGGTGAAAACGGGTATAGGAGGTATTTTCTCACAGAACAAAATCATTCTGAGAATGATGCACGTTGACGCTTTATTCCCCATGCTCAAACGTCTCGGGCCACTGCACCTGGACTTTTCAAAGGCATGAGATGATGGCAACTTATGTGAAGAGATTTCCAGAGCAGATGTCAAGAGCCCAGTGGTGTCTGAAGTGGTCCGGAGATGGGGGATTTTTCTTGTAGGTTATCAGCAATTAATGACATGCCTGGGGCAGACCGCCAACCTGACCCTGACCCCCCCTCCGTTTTAATGCCACTGCAAGAGGCCTTACCAAAAAGATCTGCACACTCCCAGGTTCAAACTGGGATCAAAAGGGACTTTTGCTCCCAGTTTGCAAAAAAAAAAAAAAAACTTTCACATTAAAAAACAAACAAAAAAAATAGCAACACCTGAAACCACCGAAACATGCAACTCCTAAAATTCCAAAAACATTAATCCTTTTTTTTTTTTTTTCTTTCATGCTTGTAGTTGATTGCTGAGCAGTGTAAACAAGTAATAGGGCCTTGTCAGGCAAAGCAAATCTGCCTTTTGCCTCGATACCCTAGAGCATAGGCCTTGTGCCTAAAAAAAAAAAAAAAAAAGGAAAGAAAACTGTCAGTTATTGTTTTTTGGAAGCTACGGGGTTCCTCATATTTCCCTAGCGACCACAAATGACCCACCCCAGGCAGAATAAAAAACAAAACAAATTAACTCCATGAACCACTGTTCAGTAGAAGCTCCGTGCTTCTGCAAACTCCCTTAGCGACTGCAGGTGACCCACCCTGAGTTGACGAAGGTGATGTCTCCGTTGTGCAGCTTGCTGAGGGTCGTCTTCCTGCGGAATTTTAGAGCAGAGCGGTTTTCGGCGTTCTCATCCTCCATGTCCACGGCGGGGTAAGCGTGCATGTCCAGGGTCAGCGTCCGTGGAGGAGTCGACAACAGGATGGTTTCTTCCGCGGATCCCACGAGCGACTGCTCCAGCCGCGTCTCCGGCAGGGGGTCCCGACCTTCGATGTGCTGGTTGCCCCCTGGTGAAAAGTGTACGGATCAAATGGAGGAATTCGGCCCGTAACGTGTCTCCGACCAGTGTGTATGGCGTCCCATTCCGCCCATGCATCCAAAATGGTTCCAGAGTGCCAACATATGACGGTGCAAAAGTCGGAGTGCCGTGCTGTCGGATGTCGCGATCCTGGTGGTTGGGAGTAGAAGTTCCGGAAAAAAAGCGTGGGAGAATGTGAGCGTCGCTGTCTTCACTGCGCCCCAACTCCCGGCCGTTGAAGCACTGTCGAGCTTAAGAGCAACCCGCGACAGAACGGGCGTCTGCCAAATCCACCTCCGCCAAGATCGCGACTGGCGATGGCACGACGCTTCTAAGACGTCGTCGGGCGGAAATCGGGGGACCGCTTTTCAGGTCGCGGTAAATGCGCGAGTCCGAGTTGTATTTCAGACACCATAGCAACCAAGCACGTGTCATGCTGACGCTCGACACCCAGACTATAGTCTGCGACGGGCTAAGAAGGCAGTTGAGTGTTCTCGTTACTATGGACACGTCCGTTCCCCAAAAAACTGCCCAAAATGTGAGTTGTCAACGCAGCCGTGTCTCGTTAATACGGACCGTGTTAATATATAGACACCTCACTATATAGATAAAGTTTTTTTGGGGCGAACTGGGCAAATACATTTGCTCAATGTGTCCCCGAAAACTTTATCTACATAGGTATCTATATTAAAGGGGTCTATATTAACGAGACATCACCGTAGAAGCTCTGCCTCCAGCACGCATTTGTCGCCTCTGAAGAGGCTTTGACTATGTGTGTGACAAAGTGGTATCAGGGGCAGAAGTTAGTTTTTTGGCCAGGTGGCGCGAGCTACCACCCGTAATAAAGGATACAGCCGCTAACATCCAGTCATCTATCCTGAAAGTTTGTGCTGCAGGAGGACCGTCTACTGCGAAGTTAGCCTGTTGCCGACTAGATGTGGCACTACCATGGAAGCTAGACAGGATGCGATACTCAATAGCACTATAAAAGTTAACCCGTGCGATCGGTAGGCTGTGCTCCTTTGACAATAGAGTTAGCTCTTCGACACAGTACCTATGAACCTGCCATCACCACAGTAACAGATAGTACCGTCCATTGTGTTTGGGAGCCGTGCACTTGAAACAACATTCATCCCAACATACAATTTGCCTCGACCTTGTCTCAGAATGAAATGACGCGGGGCGCTCGACCTGCCGAACATTTTACCGTGGAGTGCAATAAAGCAGGTACGAATAAATGAGTCGACCTGTACTGAACACAAGAGCTTCCCATTAAAAAACCTTGTCAATACTTCGTTTTAGCGTAAGTCCAGACGCAGACGAACACCATGATGCTGCCCTTTTGACGGTGTCTAATTAGTCCCATTAAGCTCGTAGCGTCGGTTTTGTCTGGACTGAAAGTAAAACGAACTATAGCATCGGACCTGTTGACAGAACGGCGGCCTATCTGTTCGACATGGGTCTTATCGGGCGGGATGTGTCGGGCAAACGTTGACGGTCCCTCACCTCTGACTAGAATTCGATCGGGAACGTGCATGTAGGCCGCGTCGTTGAAATGCAGCTTGTTGGGGCCCATGTCCTCGATGAGCTTATACTCATCTTGATCCACGACGCTGATTTTCTGTGGCACCCGCATCTTATTGCTGATTTCGGCGGTAAACTCTGGATCGTAGAAGGCGTCGTAGTCCCCAGAGAATCGATGGTGCGCTGGGCTTGTGTTCGAAGACATCCTTTGGGCGGAGAAAACAGAGAAAAAAACAACAGATTAGACTAGCCGGGAATACCCGTAGAATGCTCAAAGACACGGCGTATGTCGTTTCGCCTGTTGTGGAGCAAAACTGGCAAAACCTTGGGAGACCGCAACACCGCTGAATCGTTGCACAAGTTTCAAAGACTAGCGGAGAAGGGGTTCGCTAATGGAGTGGCCAGTGCGGTTTAACCGACCGGAGTGAACGGCGTCTCGCAACGGGTTGAAGGGGAAAGTAATTTCAGTGCGCGGCTTAAATATGCGGCCCCGATGCTTACCTGAATGTGGCCTCGTGAATGAATCACATCCAGATCCGACAGTCGACCACCCAACGGACAGATGGCTGGCTGGCGCGGATGGAAACAGTGCTTCTCTAACAGTGTTGTCAACCGACCGCTAAAAAGCTCCTCAAACGCCCTAAACTTGGCTAAGGGACCGGTGGTCGGACCTGCATTTGCAGAAGAAAAATAATAACAAACCCGTGTGTGTGTATCTGAGAGTCATAGTAAATTATCTGTTCTTGCGCAAAGATTTTCTGGGGGAAAAAAAAGTTTTAAATCCTCTTCCTCCTCCCTTGTTGATCTTGGCAGTTAATAATAATAATAATAATAATAATGACAATTTTATTGCAAATGAACATAACGTATGTTAAGTCTGACCTGCCTAAGCCACATTGGGCTTGACTGGCAGCGTCTTAAAATCAGTGAAACCATGCCGTTTGCAAAAGGAAACATGTAAAATAAAATCCACACAAAAATCAGAATAACAAAAGCAAACTAGTGAGCACTTTACGATCTAAAATTTCTCAGGGCTTTCTTGAGCTTGTATTTTGTTCTTAAATTTAGTATACTAGAAGGTAGTTTGTTCATAAATGCTGGTACATAGTAACTCCGAGCTCTTTTTCCAAATCTTGTCGAACATCGAGGTATCCGGTAAGGCTCTTTGGGTCTAAGAATACGAGAAGGGACATATGGAACTTTAAATTGACTATCCCAAAAATGCCTATGAACAACAGTTTCCATCAAGAGCGAGTTAAAATCAGGCAAATGCAGTGCTTTAAACACATCAATGTCCTTATCAAGGCATAAATCATAGGAAATGTTCTTTAGCAAAGAACGCAGAATTGAATTAATTCTTATTTGCCAACGCAGAGAACAATGACCATACACGGTAATACCGTAACGGAGCACACTGTAAACAAGAGCATGTACAACAATTTTTCGAACGGATAGTGGCATAAAATATCTCATGTTGTATAGCAAACAAGACACTGCACGAATTTTCTTACACACATGAGCAAGATGAGTGTTCCAGGTTAGGTCACTGTCAAAGAATAGGCCAAGATATTTTATAGAAGATATATGCTGTATAGGCTCACATGCACATGATAGGCACCTGGACGTATGTAATCGTAAAGAGCAGGTCATATTAACTTTTTTCAAAGGGTTGTGGAAACATATTAGCTGCGTTTTGGATGCATTAACTTTAATTAAATTAGCTTCAAACCAGTCCATAGTTTTAATTGCCGCAGTTTGCAAAGACGAAAAGGCATCTGAATAATTGGACGCTCTAGATAAAATAACGGTGTCGTCAGCATATTGAAATAGCGAAACTGGTACCACCATGGAGAGGTCATTAACATAAAGATTATATAACAGTGGACTTAAAACCGAGCCCTGGGGGACACCCGCTTTGATTGAAAAGAATCCGCTTTGATACCCTCCAAATGAAACACATTGACGCCTATCCTGTAGAAAGTTTTCCAGTAAATTTAGAAAAGAACCTCGAAAGCCTAACTTTGAAAGCTTTGTTATCAAAATGTGATGGTTAACACTGTCAAATGCCTTGCGGACATCAAGGAACAGTGCGCAGGCAACTTGATTCCGTTCAAAAGATAAATTGAGCATGTCAGAAAAGTCCTCAAGGAGCATTTGAGTACCTCGGCCTTGTGTGAATCCGTACTGATAAGGAGATAGTAAACTGTGTTTATCTAAAAAGCTATTCATAGTTATCCACATATGTTTTTCCAGGATTTTAGCAAAGCAAGACAGAATGGAAATAGGTCTATAATGTTCTACGTTATTTCGCGCGCCTCCCTTGAATAATGGAATCACCAAAGCTGTTTTCATTGCTAATGGGATGGTACCATTAGATATTATGTGATTAAAAATCGAAAGTAGAACAGCCCTAATCCCTTCAAAGTTTCTGCGCAAGTCATTAACTGAAATACCGTCGATGCCTGGAGATTTATTGGGCTTAAGGCTAAAAAGGATTGACCTAAGCTCTTCTTCAGAGAGAAGAGGAAGATAAGCCGAGTCTAAGACACTTTTGTTTAAGGTACATGAAGCTGGGTGTTGCCCTGCAATACCTGATACTTGAGAGAAAAAATTGTTAAATTCATTAGCAATACTCTGTCCATCAGTAGAGAATTGAGAAAGAAGGTAGCTATCATTGCTTTTAGTGCACTTCTTCGTACCATGGAGATCGTTGATGAGCGACCAAGTTTTTTTTATATCAGAACGAGCGTCCTTAAATTTGTTTCTAAAGTGCATGCGTTTGGCCTGACGAATCATGGCATTAACCTTGTTTCTGTATTGCTTAAATTTCAATCGTAGCATAGTGTTACCGGGGGAGCGTTTTGACTGTGCCCATAAAAGATCTTTTTCTTTGATGGCTGCCAATATTTCTGAAGACATCCATTTCTGGTCTATGTTACGATGTTTAATTTTTACAGTGCGTGTAGCCGCCTTTTTAAAAAGGTTAAACTGAGCTACAAACTGTTCATAACCGTCAGCTGGAGATGTAGTTAGAAGAAAAGTATTCCAATCATGTTGCTCCACAAGTTTATCGAAGTGCCTGGGATCAACTATTGACAACTCCCTCACAGCGCCAACATAAGTCAACGGCTTAGATATCTGTGTTAATGAACAACAGACAAAATAATGATCAGCAAGTTTCGTTTCAATAATTGCAGACTGAATTACTACGTTCTGTGCTCGTACGTTTATATGATCAATGTTAGATACCACCAACTGGCCAGAGATGAATTTCTCCCGTGTTGCCTTCTGAATTGTTGCTTTTAGGCCCCATTTAGACAAAACATCAAGGTAGTCTGCGACTATGGTCACTGTGGGACGAAGTACGTCGATATTAATATCGCCGTTTACACATACAAGCTCTTCAGATGAAAGAGTGGACAAAGCTAAATCTAATTCGGCCAGAAATAACCGTGCATTACAGCACGGGGGACGATAGATTGAGAAAAGGACCAGGGATAACAAAGGAGTGCTTAAGTGCAGCGTAACTACTTCTGCCTGTTGGAATGAAAATTTTAACTCGGCCACCGACCAACTATTTTTTATAAACACAGCCACACCCCCTCCTCTTCCCATTGGACGAGTATAAGAGAACACCTCATAGCCTGGTATTTTATATTTAGAGAAACTGTCCGAAGAAATGTTAATCTCGGTCAGTACAAAAGCATCAAAACAAGAGCAAAAAGGGGAGATTAATGCGAGAAAATGGTCCCAGTATTTCCGGATGCTTCGGATATTAACATGGGTAATACGAAAAGTATTACCTTTGAAACTTGTAAAAAAGTTCTGTACTTCTGAAAATGAAACAAAAGTACGAAAGTCATCACAGTCCATAATCAGACGGTCCTCTCTAGGTCCAATATCCTTTTAGTTTATCAGTTCAAGATCGTGTTCACAGCTGATGCGCACTGGGGTTGCCTCATCTTGCCGCTTGGCAAAGATCTTGCCATTTCGAACCCAAACATACTTGAATCTTTTCTCCTTTCCCCGTGTTCGAGCCTTCCAGAACAGGTTTCGGTTGATTTGGGTGAGATTCTCGTTAAAATAAAGCTGGGGTAGAGTTCCCGCTTGTGCGAGTTCGCGCAGACCGCCACGTGCCTTCATCCATATCTCTCGTGCAGCTGATGACGAAAATCGAACCAAAATCGGGGGGATCTTATCCTTTTTGCTTGGGAGCCTGTGGACAGCTACTATGTCAGAAGGTTGAAAAGATGTGATTGACAGTTTGTCTGCGAGGTCAAAGACGGATTTTTTTAGGTCTTCATTGGTTGACACCGGCATGCCATGGATTTCTAAATTAGGCAGGCGGTTGTACTGTTCAGCGTCATTTAACTCGACCTGGAGATGGGAGATGCATGCAGCGTTCTCAGACACAACATTTTTCAGTTGAGTCATCTCTGCTTTCAGGTCTTTTATTTCCTTTTTACTTGTTGTCATTTCGACAAGTAGCTGGTCATATTGGCCTGAGTTGAACTCCACGGAGGTCTTCAGCTCGTTCACAGTGGCCTTCATTTCTTCGAATGTTGTTTTTAAGGTCAACAGGTCATTCACTTGGGCTGGTAGTCCAAGGAGACTATCTACTTTGTCCTTAAGTGAAAGAAGTTGATCCAGCTTTTCGTTCACTTCAGCAAACTGAGCTGACAGGTTCGCAATATCCAACTGTGAGGAGACCTTATCAGGGGCCGATGACTCCCGTCCGTCTTTCGCGCGACATGACCGACAGCGCCATTTTTCTCGTTTCTTAGTTCCCATAACCTGGAACGTAGATTCCGCCACACCTGAGCAAGGAGTACCCATGTGGTACGGAAAAGAGCATTCTACGCAGGTTAGAAAGCGTCCATCATCAGGCAGCAGTTTTGAACATGCTATGCACTCTTTCACAGGCATGGTAAAGTGGCAAACGAAAAGTGCGAATACTTGCTGCAGTTGGGTGAGGCAGACGTCTTCGCTTGTGATGACTGTTGCCGGTGAAAGCCACGCAGTTCCTTGAAGGCGCGGGTAACAGACGAGTCAGCTTCCGTGATGCGATACCTGGGTCGTTCTTAGCATATCGAGAACGAATGTGATCCCGTAGAAAGGCAGAAGTCCGTCACCAGACTGGAGGTCGCCGGATGATTATAGCGGTAGTCGAGTCCGTGGCACAAATCTGTAGTTGGCAAGTCACTTGTGAGTCATCAGGATTGCTATTCAAGATAATATATACAGAGCGGTGGAAACAAACGTTCGGATGCTACGGCTTCTTCTTCTTCGTTCCTTGATCTTCCTCAAGATCAACTGCCAATAACGAGTCCACATAAAATATACTTCTGGATTTAAACTTTTTTGGCATTTACATCTCCCTAACCTGAAACGGACGGTACATGAAATCAGTGAAAAATATGCGAGTAGGTGACCATGGAGCAGTGCACAAAACGAGTGATATGCAACTATGAGTACAAAAATAATTTTCATAGGCTATTTCAGTCATTCTAGCCGCTTATCCTCCAAGGCATAGGCTCCAAGGGAAGCATCGTGGGCGTCTACATTTTCGTCGATCAACTTATCGAGATGTGACAATTAAATCGATGGCACTATTTCCAACTATCTGCTAAACAAATACCTCTTGCAGATTTCTTGGTGCTATACAGTTAAATACTAAAATTCCTTCATAGTAATGTCCAAGACGCTTCGAGTAGCTGTAACATTTTACTATCCAGAAGGCATATTCCTTTCATTTGGTGGCAAAACCCTTTGCCGCCCGTGCAGCTTGTGGCATCTATCATTTGCCACTGTGTCGTGTTTGCTTATTTAGTGAAAGAAGAAGCGAGGACTGGACGTGTTGCTAGCTGAAAAGGGAAGAAGTGGAGAATAGAGAGAAGGAAGATGTATTATCCCAGGACAACATTAGCTGAAACACCCAATCAGGCCTTTTTCTGCACCTGCGGTCCCCACAATCATTATTTTCTCTCAATTTAACAAATAGTCCAAATTATGGGACTTTGCATTACATTACTAGTTTGGACCACAGCTCTCAAAAACTGGCAGGTAAACCAAAGAAGCACAAAGGACTGTTTCAACTCAATTCGTCCGCAATAGTACATCACAGACAAACTATATAAGAAAATCTGCTGTCTGTCCAATTTCCTATGGTATAACATACTGCAAAGACCCCCAGTTCCCAGAATATTACGATCAATCTTCTCTAGTGGAATAACACTCAAACCGCATTGTCGCTGCACATTAGAATCGAGCCACTTCTTATGTTTTCCGACAGAGTCCAAATGCAAGACCATTTTAATTTATTTAAACGAGCATACATCGGACACAATTCACCTCGTACGATGTTTGGCTGCAGGGAAAACATCTGTCGTCAATACGGTGCACGATGGGACATGCAGGGTTCACGGTTGGACACCAACAAACACCACAATTAGTTAAAAAGGGGCGGCAGACGTCTGCCACCTTGATCGGAGGCGTCTCTTGACAACGTCGACTGTTTCAGAGGCTTGGAGGCTGCCCGGGCGCACCAAGTGTTTAAAACTAAGGAATGTTCTCCGGCAGATGTCAACTGGCCTTGGGGCACTTTTCCTTGCGCTTCCTAGATGAATATTCACTGGCCGGGTAATGAGGCATCGGCTCCACGGGCTCTTGCTTTACCCGTCTGTATTGCCTCTCGTCCTGCAAACGGTTGCCCAGCAAATCAGAACCACACAATGCAGTAGAATTAAGATTTTTTTTTTTTTTTTTTAAATAACTTTGGTTTCTGCACATTTCTCTACAATACCTACACTCTACATTTAGTTCAAGCAGCACTAGCAGTGAAAATTATGTTTCAAACACCATATCTAAAATAGGAACATTGTGTTAAAAAAAGCAAGAACATACAGGATATATTTAAAGAAGAAGAAATCCCAGAGAATTTGTTTTATATATTTAGCAATACAAAATTGATTGCACTGGGTGTACTGAATGAAGCTGATACATCAGGGGAATCATTGTAACCAAACTGATGCATATAGACATTAAAAGGGCCATGAAACACTTTTCCAACGTTCCAACCCAGACCAGGCGGATTTTTTCAGTCGCGCACCAGTCACCTAGCTGTGTTTGGAGATTTGTGTTTGTCCTTTGTCCCTGTTGTTCCCTTTCTCCAGGGATTATTTTTGACATTCTTGTCCACCTTGCTTGCACCTTTGCCATTTAATTGCATTATACTCATAAACTTTTTTCTGTTTAGCTTTCCTCCTCAACTCATAAATCATGCATTCTACCAAACATATCAAGAAGAAGGAAAGAGGGGAGTCCCCTCCTGCTCGGACTCTCGTTTGTGTGCCCAGACACAGCCATTCTCCCCTAGAAGATTAGCCCGTCACTCAAAATTCATACAAAAGGTGCTTTTTCCACCCCGTTCATCCCCGAAGCTGACAGTGCTGTGGAAGCTACATGCTCGTTGGGCCAGCCACACCTTTGCCCCGTAATCACGCTCTCTCGCACATACCTATGCGCAGAGAATGAGGTCAGGTGATGAAAGGGAGGCGGCCGATTGGTCCAGCAGCTTGATGAATGTCAGCTTAGGGGTGAAGGGAATAAGCGAGGTCCAGTGTCGTGTGACATTCGTTTGGACCCGGTAACGTGTTTTGGGGACCGTGGATGTATCACAGTGAAAAGGCAGAGAGCTTATGAAGGGAAGGAGGTACGAAATAGTCCGCTGTGTTTTCGAATTTTCGTACTGAAAGTCAGGAAAGACTTTCTACTTTTTTTCTTTTGGCCCACTGAACGATGTGCTATTAGTAAAATCCCAATCTAAACTGATTCATCCCAGCCCAAAATTCGTTTTATGGGCCTTCTAAGTGTAGAGCTCCGGGGGTGTTGCGGTTGGCCGCGAGAGGGGTGGGGGGTCTGTCGCAGCTGGCAATGAGCGAGGGAGGGGGGGTGTCGATGCGGGCCACCGCCCCAGGTGCCCCTGACCCAAGTTCCACCACTGGTGTGTAGTGGCTTTCCCCCATTGGAATATTTGACACTGCATTAATCACACCAAAGAACCTTGAATGAAGTGCATAATAAAATTACACTCGGAAGATTTTTTTTTTTTTTTTTTTATATTTGAGGTTGACCAGAAGCCATTACTCTGGCTTAATTGTTTAAAAAGCGGAGCATGTGTGGCAACCACCTCATGTCACATAGTACTCTCATGCACAGATCATGTTTGATGTTATCAAGCAGCAACCATGCACAAGATGAAACGTGCCAATGATAGTTCTCTTTCTCTTGTGTTTGCATGCTTTCACAAGTGTTTAACTTGAAAGGAACTTACCACAGGATACTGAGGCATCGCAGTATGCTTTTCTTGCTTGTAGTTGTTGAGCCTCTGGATCAAAAACCTGTAAAATCGTCATCTTAGATTGTGGAGGCAAGTTCAATTCCAGGATTTTCATTGTCCTTGTTTACGTTTTTCTTTAGATGTTCGAGTTCATGTTTGCGAGCAATGTCTAAAATACGCTAGTTGACTTAATAACGAGCTGAATAAACTACCAACCGACCACGAAAGAACCTGATTAAACATGTCGCGGATGATACGACTAGATTCGACTAAAACCGTTTCGATAAATGCTGGCAACAGAAAACAGAATCATGCAAGTACTCGTTTGGTCTTTCTGCGGAAGCTACAATACCCGATTTAGACAGACTCGTCCTGCGTTCTAACAAGAAGAGATCGCCTTCGCGACGGGCGAACACGTCGGCCGCGGTAAAAAGAGAGAACGCGCACCTTTTTTCTTTGTTGAGTCGCGCCGTAAGTTTCTTAACCCGTTGTATCCGGTACATGAGGTGGTAGTTTTGCTGCGGGAGGGGAATAGGAAAGACAGGAAACGATGAATGCCAACTGCCAGCTTGGGCCCAAGCTGTCAAAAGACAACCGCTCGGCGGGCGCCTGCTCCCGACACCTACCCGCTGTATGCTGTTGTACCGCTTCAGCAGACAGTAGTATTTGTCGCAGTAGGGCTCGGCACTCGTCGACGTCTTCGGCGTCGGGGCGTTGACGTCGTTGCCGACGCCGTTGCTCGTCGATACACCGTGCTCCATTTTGAACGCTCCACTTGGCTGCCATTGGCAACTAACCCACTACTCAAGTCAAGGACCGTTCCTACTTGCGCTTTTTTGTTTTCCTCAATAAAGCCTGAATCGAACGGCAGTAGTTTCGAACAACCGTTGTTCGACTAGATTCGGTTCGGTCTTTCGTCTAGTAATGCCCTCGAACTTTTCAAATTCGACGGGAAAAGTTAGAGTCAACTTTTGCTAAGTGATATCTATATTTTATACTACAAAAAAAAAAACAAAAAAAAACCAAGTATTTTTTTTTAATAAGTAAATTAGTGTTTTGGGATCCGAACCTACGGAACCTACCGAACCAGGTTCGACCAAGTGGGTTCGATGACAGGTTCGTCTAATAGAGAAAGGAGAAGGACCTTTCAAAGTGGGTTTCGGTTGCCTTTAACAAGTATATTTCTACATAACGTTTATTCCACAAATTATTATGGTTATAAGGTTTAGTAGGCAAATAAAAATTATAAAAACCTTAAGAAAACCCAAACCAGAAAAAAAGGTCTTTTAAAGATATTTTATTGTTCAGTGGCGCTCTCTACAGAGTTTATTTTATAGATTTGTTTTTGCGATGCGAAGGCTTCAACAAAACAAGGACACGCTTGAACGAAGGATGCGAGTCGCAAGTTGGTTAAATTTTTTGTTTCCGTCGGTACGATGCGCAAGGTTTTGCCAATTTTGAGTCGGTTTAAAGAAGGAATAGCAGCAATGGTCATACGTGCCGCCTGTTTTGGGGCCGACTCGGACGCAATTATCGGCACACGAGCATGATCAAATTCAGCGCGCTCAACTCCAACGACAGTTCCACACCGGAAGACGGAGATGTGGTGTCTGTGGTCACCAGGGAGGCGCAAGAAGAGGAAGCCTTCGGACTGTACCGCAAGGCCCTCGGGCAAGTGCAGCAAGAGAACTTCAGCGAAGCCCTTGCCACCTTCAAGGAACTCCTGTTGCTTCCGTTCGTCCACAAAGCCAGCTCCGACGACGGTAAGGGTCCGCTTTCGCCCGCGCTCTCGCTCAAGTACGTCGCCCTCAAAAACCTCGGCTCCATCCAACTCCAGTTGGGCGACGCTCGGAGCGCGGTCGAAGCGTACCTGGACGCCGTCGAGATTGACTCGAGTGACGTCACCGTCTGGTTCAAGATGGGGAAGCTGGCCCTGACGCTACACCTGTATCCTCTTGCTAGGATCTCTTTCGAAGAAGGCCTTAAGTGTAGTCCCAAACATTGGCTCTGCCTGAATAACCTGATGACAGTTTTGTATGCTCTCAACGACTACCAGACGTGCTTGCATTACATCGCAAGGGCGTTGAAGCTCGACCCAGGCTACACAAAAGCCCTTGCACTGAGAGATGCCATCTATAAAGAGCACCCCGCCCTCTCAAACAATGAGTTCTTCGGGGACTGTGATCCATCCGTCTTCACGTGTGCTGCCACGGAAGCGGAGGCGGCGGAAGTGGTCAAGGAAGCGCTCGCCCTGAGGGAAAAAAGGAGGGAGCTTTACACCCCGGGAAAACTGGCCGTCCTACCTCTGCGTAAAAAGATGAGGGAGTTCACCTGGGCAGAGCTGGGACAAGCGCTGCTTGACTTGTATGAGTATATTGCAGCCGTTAGGGAGGACGGTCAAGTATCACTAGCTTGCAGGGTTGATCTTTGTAAAAGCGACGCAGAGGGGAAGGGTTTGCTGGGGGCCATGGACGTTGTTAAGAAGGAGTCGCCGACTGACAGTCTGCAGCAGACCAGCGGTGGGAATTCCACGGGCGACTTGGTGATCTGCATCAATCCACCGAGCGATCCGACGTCACAAGGGGAGACGGAAATGCCTCAAACGGAACAGAACAATCCTGGAACACTGCAGCCGATGGAGTTAGGCGGACTGGCCGAACAGCTGACGGTCATCACGCGGGAGCCAGCCACACCCGAGGAGATTGGCATACCACGAAACGCAATGCCTGGGAGCAGACGGGGTGGGAAGCGAAAGAGGCTTTCCCTGGAATACCTCGATCCGTCGCTGAAGCGGAGGTCGGCGAGGGTTCGTAACACGCTCCGGAAGACACAAGAAAGTGTCAATTACCAAGAGCTCCTGACTCCCTTTCTTCCATCAAGCCTGATGAGCGATGGTAAAGACGACAGGGAGGACAGCATACCAAACTGCTCGGACTTGAACAGTGACCACACCTACGGGATGACTCCCAACAACAGCCTCCAGGATGACAGCACTAAAGTTGTCTGCGACAGCGACACCATTGAGAAGATGGAGTCTGAATCGGTGCAGAAGTTCATCAGCGACCATAAGGACAAATTTGACTTGATGGACCTAATGTACAACTACCTTCACGAACTTAGCATTCGAAATCACCTCCTCTGGCCCACAACCCTTCGTTCTATCTTCGTTCGCGTTTACGAGAACCTGCGGTCACACATCCAGAGGCCCTCCATTTTTGCAGAAGAGGACGAGGCCGAGAGCATCCGTCGGCACGGCTTGTCCACATTAGTTTATTGCGAGCTGGTAATGGACAAAATTGTCGTAGTAAAGGCACAGGCATCCCCATCTATCTCACCGCGGAGCCCCGGGAATCAACTCGGACCAGACTTCCCGAGCACCCAGTTTGCAGCAGACTTGGAGTTCCTGGGACAGATGTCAGTCCGCCAGGGTGTTTTTAAGGAGCTGTGGCTTTCGTTCGCTTTGCGGTCCTTCTGGGCGGAAGCCCGCTTCCAAATGCTCAGTGGTGAGACTGAGTCTGCAGTGCAGACACTGGAGGACATCCTCAGGTATATCGACCAAGAGAGCAAGCCCAACAGGGGCCCCATCAAGGTCCAGATCATCAACTGCAAGATGAACCACACCATTACTCGAGAGATAGTTCAGGAACAGTTGGAGTCCCTGCAGAGGTGCCAATCTCTCGAGGAGGTTCATCGACTCTTTGAACAGGGCCGGTTTCAAGCAGTGGCAGACCTTTTGATCCAGACATTCAAAAAGCCGGCGTCGAGGGGACGCAAACTGCACGCCAAGGCAAACATTCCTGAACGTCACGCCCAGCTGATCCTCCTTCAGGAGTCGCTTTGGAACCTGAAGAACTACCAGAGCTGCCTGAAGTGGGGAGAGGCTTCGCTGAACGAAGCACTAAGCGAATTTCTGTCTGCGGCGACCGCGGGGCTCAAGTTTGACTGGTCTAATACAATTGTGATTGTGCTCTCAGACATTCACCGTTGCATCAAGCAAGAAAAGGGTTTATTGGGTTGTTTAGACAGCACCAAGCTTACAAGGATGGCCCATAACATCATCAAGCTTATCAATGTCCAGATGGATGTCGGCGACTCGTGCATTGAAATGGCGATCCCAACCGTTCTTTCGTGGAACATTCTGTATTACATACTCAAGTATGAAGAAGACAAGATACAGTCTTTGGCAGCTCGCTCTGACAACAAGGATGAGCCTGAAAAAGGGTCAGGGGAAAAGAATGGTAACGTTGACCTGAGTGCAGTCATGCCATCCTCTTTGATGCTCTTGTTCACGGCACACGAGTACTTGGGAAGACGGTCGTGGTGCACAACATCAGACGGCGTTTTGCTTTTTTTGTCTATCGACGTAATGACAAGGGAACTCGCTGGAAATCCAGCCACTGCACATGCATTCAAGGAAGACCTCACAAATGGCATTGAGCAGTGCTTCTACTGTCTCTACGGGCACCCCAGTCGACGAGGGAAGGTGAAGCACCTACAGGAACACAATTCGAGGCAAGTCAGCTTAAGCTGGGAGCGGACGAAGCAGGTGTTTGATTTCTTCAAGCCTTCCATCATGCCCGAGTTTGATAGCTACCGTACCAGCACAGTTTCATCCGAGTTGGAGGTTCTCCTCAAGCGAATTGTATCTATGGTTCCACCAGAGCAAGACCCTGCTGCTAATCTTGATGGAGTTGTTGCTTACGTAGATGGAGGAACTGACAAGCTTCCCAGCCTTCCCAGCAGTGACACCTTCAGTCCAGTGGTACAGCAGGTTTATTACCTCCTTGGGGACTACTATTTCAAAAACAAGGAATTTGGAAAAGCAATTCGTTATTATATGCTGGATATCTGCATCAACCCCAATCGGCTAGACTCTTGGGCTGGGATGGCACTGTCACGGAGTGCGCAGTTGGAGCAGCGTATCAATTCCTGCGAGCCAAAGAATGAAGGGACCATCTCGAAGAGGTCAATTTCATCACTGCGTTGCTTCAAGCATGCCTTGGAAGTTGATCCCGCCAATGCATCCCTCTGGATAGAGTATGGATCACTAGCGTACATGCTTCAGTCACACATATCTCGACAGCTGAAGCAGAGCAAGCAGTTTGGGCTCGGTGACGAAGCCATAGAAAGCCTGACCTCAAAGAAGCGGGAGCTTTTGGAGACGGCCAAACACTGCTACGAGTCTGCGAATCGCTGCGAAGAGGATGGAACAGGCAATGACGAGATGTGGCTGAACCACTATCTTCTTGGAAAAATCACCCACAAAATGGGTCGCCCCCCAAAAGTCTACCTGAAGCATCTCTGGTTGTCCATGGAGCACTTGCACGACATCGGTGCACGGTACCCAAAAAAGATACAGTACCACAGTCCACCGCCGCTTTCGATTGAGGCACTTGAATTGTACTACAAGATTCATGCCTTTTGCATGAAGTACCTGCTAAAGTACGAAGAGAGGTTGGCACCAAAGCACGAGCTGAAGGTAATCTGGAAGTACATTCGAAAGGCCGGAACCAGTCCTTTTGCAGACTGCCGGGAGATGACCGAGGAAACTGCGCCATCTCGTTCACCTAGTCCAGTTGAGGACGACGAACCTACCATCCGAAGAAACCCCAAGAAGAGGGGACTGGAGACTGACCACGACTATTTCCACCACAAGAAGCACAGCATTGGCAGTCGAGATAATCCTATTTCGGTCGACTCCCCTCCCGAAGGCGACCCTGAATTGACGATAGTCAAAGAGATCCTGGACTGTCTGGTGACTGTTGTGAGCGAGAGGTTGGAGGCCGAGGCCAAGCAGAAGGTACCTGCAGCTGTGGCGCAGCCTAGGCCCGAATTGAGGCAAGTGCCGCGAGAATCCAAGGAGAACACTGAACTGGAAGCCCAGAAGGAATCGTTGCCAGAGGCCAAATGCAGACATTCCTTTGGAGACGCCAGTGACAGCTGGCCAAAGCGTGGGCGTAGCTCTAGTGCACCCAGACCCTCCTCAAGCGCAAGGAAAGAAGCATCCAACGACCAGGATCCCCTTAGCATACTTCCAGAACCCGAGAGGAAACAAAGACTGCTCAAATTCTGCGTGCATGCCATGAAAGAGTGCCTGGGTCGCTTTCCGCAGCACTTCAAGAGTCTGCATTACTTGGCCCGCTTCTACAGCCAATCCAAGTACGCCTGCAACCTCCAGCTAGCGTATGACTACCTCATGGACTCCGGACAGAATCGAACGGACATGCCGACGCCGGGCCTTTTCGCAGAGCGTAAGAACACCAACTTCTTCACGGGCATCTGGCACACTCCCGGCGACGAGATTGATCGACCGGGCAGCTTTGCTACCCACATGTTCCGCTCGATCGTGCTCCTGATCGATATTCTCGAACGACGGAAGGACATAGACACGATGGCCTATCTGGTGGTTCAGCTGAGCCGAAAGCCGGAGATTGAGAAGAAGTACCTGCGGGATGTTGACCGGGAGTACCTGGCGCACAAGGTGTTCAAAACCGCCATGGGTATGGCCAGCAGTCGCCTGGACGGGCTCATGAATGAGGAGCCTCCGCCCGACGAACACGTGCTGGTGGCCGCCCTCCTCACTGTATACAAGACCTGGCAGGTTTTCCAGAAGGCAGGCGTCTTTCAGGACGAGGCTGGGGAGGTCCTGGCCGAGTCTTACAAGCTGTTCAAGCTCGGAGAAGTAGATTCTTCGCCGCCTATCCTGGACCAAGCCACCATGTTCTGTGGCCGCTGCATTCACAAGGAGACTCTTCGGGCCATGGACTCTGCTCTAAACCAGGACATGTTTGGTCAGGAGCCTGGGAGGCCTTCCATAGATTTTTACTCTCCTGGACCTCTTTGAAGTTTTGTTCTGCGTGCACAAGTTGAGGTGGAAATAATATTTAAAAAATGCCACGCCCCTTTTCTTTTTTTTTTTGAAAGAGGCATACAGTTGGATTTTGGTAAATAAATGTGTCGACTGCTAGTTTGACTAAATCTTCCTTGCATGCTATGCTGCGGCTAAGCTGGGCTGATTTGATTGCCACATTTGTAGTGCCAGAGCGCTCACCCCAATACTTCTTAACGAATACTGCAAGCCTGATCCCTGGCCCGATTAGGTGGGCATTTTTAACAAACAATAAATTAATTTTTCTCAACACTGCAGTGACACAGCAACTCTGCTGTGTTGTTCTGGTAAAGGTGCGCGCATTTTTGAAATCCTCGAATATTATATAGGATGAAGTACTATTGGATTTGGCTTTTGTACGGAGCAGCAGCGTGCCTCTCGCCTTTTAGTGCTGCTCTAAAATGCTCAAACATCGATGAGTTTGTGTAGCTGCACGCACTGCACGTATCGGTGTAAGCATTCAGAAATTTTTGGAATGCAGAAGCATTTCTGATGGGATCTTTTGCACTTCTCGAGTCCGCCTGTGCTGCAACGATGCAGGCGGCACACATCTGTTATTTTCCCACTTCAATTATACATATTGAGGAAAATGCACCCAACCAGCGGCGTACCAACTTGTTTTTTTTTTTTTTTTTTTTTTTTTTTTGGGGGGGGGGGGGGGGGGGGGGGCATATTAGACACCCCCCAAAGGCCGGGGGGCGATGCCTTGGTATCCCTTGGGCGCCGTCGGCCAGTGTTTGTCCAGTGGCGGCTGTTTCAGGGAGGGGGGGGGGGGGGGGGGGGGGGGAAACACATGCATCATTTGCTGAGGGTGAAACCAACGCGCGCGTACAAGACTGCGCGCTCTCGACGGCTGCGGTATCTTATATCGCGGAATCTGCCACATCAAAGCCGCCCAGTCAATTTCGAAGCACTACAGCACTTCAAGAAGCCAGTGGAGGCGCATAAGACCGATTTAATTGCAGAACATAAGAAGCATACCGGCGATCTGTGGCGGTGATGTAACAAGTGTTACCCTTTAATTAAAACCCGAACCGAAAGTGTTTCCTGCCCAGGGCGGCAGGAAGTAACCCGAATGCCACACATTTTGTGTGTGTTCTGAAACCTTATAACACCATAAAAAGACAAACTACAATGCCAAAGTATTTATAAAATAGTTTAAAAAAATTTAATTTATTGCGATCATAGTGAGATTGATTTTGGCCAACATTATATTTTGGCAGTACGGTTTGGCTATTTCCCGTGTTGGGCGGCCGCTTACGCCACCTAGCAGACCTAGGCTACAAACACGACCGTGCCGAATAGAATTTACAGGAGCTGCGACGCGAAGAGAACCTGTGCTGATCAACGCAATATTTAGGACGCACATCAACGTACGAGCGATCCTTGACGTCAATTATGCACAAAATTTATTTACAACCATGTTCAATTCAATGCGAAGCCCAACGGTGATGCGTGATCACTTTTCCAGCGGTGCGTAATTGAGAAGCTTCTCGATCAGGTCAACGTGGCCCAACAGCATCCGCCGGCAGCAGTACCGCTTCAAGCCAAGAGCGTCTAGGGCATCACTGGAGAGTAAAGACAAAAGACATACGTATCATACCTATTACAATGAAATATATGATCAAAGCACACGCCACGTTCGGAGTGAACGTACCCTTCGGTGTATTCGGCTTGCAGAAGGCCCAAATAAGCTTCCCACTTGTTGCCGATGACTTTGCCGCAGGTGAAGCAGCGCACGGGAATAATCATTGCTAGCTGTAGCCTCCCTACAAAAGTAAATGAGAGATTAAAATTAGATTGAGCTCCACGGTTTGCTTGGATTGTCAACCGTTCAACGTCACCCGGACGTTTAATTTCTTTGGATCGTTCCTATGAGTTATATGATGTTAAAATCTTATTGCCGTTGGCAAGAAGGTTTTAGCAGTGACGCTACAAACAGTAATTCCCCGAAGTAGGAGCTTACCGGCCTTGCTTAAACACGATGATGAGTTACCGCAACTCCGCAACCTGCCACTTGCGTGAAAAGCGAGTACGTTCAGTCGTTCAGTTATTGTCCTGACGCGACTGACTTATAAATTTAGTGACGTCACGAGAGTGACTCGGAGGGACTGGTTACGTTCATGTTGTAATATTTAAAATATCAAATTCTAGTCAAAAATTAATTGTTAAACTCCTTCAAATATATGCTGTTAATACTTAAATGCAGGCTTGCATATGTTAACACATGTAACAGGATAAAATACAATATTTTATTTTTTTCTGTTGCAGAAGCCAGTTTTGTGTTAATGGTCCTAGTCGTAGCCGTATCCATATCCATCCAGATCCAAATGAAGTGGGAGAGGTGGGGGAGGATGTGTTGATTTCTCGTAGTGTGTAGAGGGGCTCGCTGGCTCGCCGTAGTCCTGTGACGTGAACCGGATAAGTACCTCACTTACACTCATTTATCGAAGCCGTTCTCTAAAAACATATCGCGCACGCACCTTCTTTTTCTTCGAAGCTTGGTTCAAGATGTCGCGCGAGTTGTCGACACGACGCAAAGCACAGGAATGATCCTAATTCGCTTACGCTCAGCGCACACCGATGGAGACATGTGGATGGACAAAGTGCCAACGCCACGGCAGCCCTCATGAATAGCCGAACCTCGACTCAAAAGGTTTGATCGGTAAGTAAACTGGCTGTTATCCTGGAAAGTTCCGCGTCAATACTTGCTGTAGACACTGTGCTGCGTGCTAAGACGAGGATCATCTCCGCTGGTACTTCTTGCGCAACATGTTGCTTGATCCGCTTTCCCGAGCGCCACTCACCGCACTCACCGCTTGCGAGGCCGCACAACCGGAAGATCAATCTCCGGTTGATTATTCCCTTGATTGAAACTCGCGGATTTCTCGGGTTGTCCGTTTTCTGTTGATGTTTTTATTGTTTGCACGGAATCAACTTCGGAGAGTGGAGAGGGTGATGACACCACATTCTTTGGAAGCGCCCTTCCTCTCTTGCGCGGTTTTTGATTGGTTCACGTCGGATTGACCTCCCGTCTGCGCGTGTTGGTATTGGTGGAAAGCTGATGCACTGAAGACGGAGCTATCTTTATTGACGAGAGAGACGATTTATCGGAACGATGCTCTGCCGCGCCTTTCTAATACATTTCGCCTTGTAGGAAAAAAAAAAAAAAAAAAGGAGAAGAGACAGGCATTGTTTTAAAATAAAACCACGTCGCCACGGACACAGAGCGTTAAAATCGACCAGCTTAAGATCATTTGGGAGAGGGGAAGGGCTCATTAAATACGATCTCGACTACAAGCAGGTAGGTCATTAGTGACCGCTCTAAGTGAGCAACTCCGCTGTTCTCTAAATAAAAAAAAAAAGAAAATAATTACAGTAACAGAAAAAAAAAAAAAAAAAAAAAGCTTTAATTTTGGCGATTCATTTACTGCATTCAAACCTTGCCTCACAACAACCTGCTTCTGCTGGTAAACTAAAAAGAAAAGAAAAGAACCAAAATACCAACCACACTCGCAGCTGTTCCGTGTCTTGTTCGAGGGGTGTGTAAAGGCGAAAAGTCGACACTTGTGGTCGTGGAATCGACTCCGATGCGCGTGTTCGCCTGTGCAGTATTCAGCAGCTTTCTCTAGCGTTTTGCAAAACCAGTCTCTATCCGACGATCCGCATCCCAGCACTCTTTCTTTCTGTACGCGTAGAGTGCTTCGAGGGCGCGCACTTATCAAAAGAACGACCCGAAGAAGCGATAGGAGTATCTGGAGGAGTGAGTATCCATTGATGTTTATGGTGGCCTCCTGTGGCGCGCAAATCTGGCTTCCCTCTCTTTCTGTTTTCTTTTTTTCCCCGTTTTTGCGGTAGTTTATGTTTCTTCTTTTTTTCCTTTTTTAATCTTTTGCTCGTGTTTTGTAGCGTTTGCGGAAGTATAGTATAAAAAAAAGAAAAGGCCACCGCGCATTTCGGTGCGAAAATAAAGCTGATCGTGCATCGCAAACGCGTCTGCAACGTAAAAAAAAAAAAAAAAAAAAAAAAAAAAGCAGGAGAGAGAAGCGGAAACCATAAGCAGACGACGGGCGAAGCCAACTGGAATGACGCCAAGAGCTGCGTGTCGTCCTTTAATAAGTACGAACAAAAAAAAGAAGACAAGAAAGGCTGGAGGTGTTTCGTCTGCGTGGGCGACCGCGCGTACATACGACAAAGCAGCAGCAGCAGCCGGCGCACATCCGTCGGTCACCCATTGTGAAGCGCGTACACTGAACGCTGGCTGAAATCGAACGAACTTCTTTAGGACTGCACCGTCAAAAATACCAAGTTATGTAATAACAGAGTATCAAAGCATGCGGGGGGCGGAGCGGGACGCCATGTTGCTTCCATATCTTCGAAGTGGCTGCACATTTAATTACGCCTGTTCTAGCTTGCCGTATGCCGAACCGGTGCACCGCCGCATACCATTAATTTTTTTTTTTTTTTTTTTTGAGCGATGAAGCGGTTATGGGCGTCTCAAGCTGTTTTCCATTACTCGCGACCTAGCCCTTGAATGTAAATCGGTGACCCTGAGCGTGTTCATCTTTAAATTTAGGCTGCCTTTCTTAGGCGTGTTTGCCATTTCTTGTGTTACGTTGTCTCTGGCTTAAAAGGGACGCTGACGGGGTGTTTATGCTCGCTAAGCTTTTTGTTTGTACATGCCACATGAGAGCCCGACTACGCAGAAAACAATTCGCGGCTCGAAGTTCGTTTTCTTTCCGCCCGAAAGCCGCCGATCGAGAACTGGCCGCTTCCAGTCGCGCTCACTCTCTTCTCCGCAGTCACGTGCCGTTTTCTATGGTTTAGAAACTTTAGACAAAACCACCAAATATAATCAAAGTCGTGGGTCATCGAAGGCGCACGCACAATATTAACAATAGAGAAGAAATGCGATACCAATTTTTGATGACTTTTAAAAGGTTGCAAATACGTTACAGGAAAAAAAGAACAGTTGCGCAGCCACGTGACTTCCACCAACTCTCTCCTTCCCAGTCCAGTTTCGGTTACAGTTTCGAGCAGTTGCGTTTTTTTACTTTATTTAAAATATATGTGACGCTGTAGCAAAATATTGATTATGCAGTCTTCTGACACCATAATGAACCAGTTTTACTATGACGATTAATATTGAAGCCTCTTCCACGAGAATAATTTGGATAGTATTTTTAATTTACCGCTTGTAAAGCAATCAAAGGCACGTGGAAAGCATTTCATGCTTTCCATGTAAAAATATTGTGAGCAGTTTTTTTTTCTTTCTTCCATTTTGCGCGTCGGCTACTTGATATCATACTGCGGGCAATTGACCGAAAACGTTCGCTCACAGGTACACACACAAACACCGGCAGCTGTTTTATTGAAGATGTCCCTTGTGTTCACTAGCCATCGGTGATCATTCCTGTTCAGTGTATAGTGTTTCCACACGGCGTGGAAGTTCGTGTTCCCCTTGCGCACCTCGCACGTTTGTTTACCCACCCAAATGCGTCCACTTGCGTTTGTCCCCCCCCCCCCCCCCCCCCCCCCCCCCTATTTGAACCAATGACGGCGTGAGCTCGCCTTACTCGTCATCGCGCGCTTTCTACGCGTTTCCTATGTTGTCCTGTGCTTGGCGTGCCCCCCTTCGCGTTTTAATGCGCCAAAGACGAATTTCTAGAACACTCACTCGCCGTATGTTTTTTTTTTTTCTAAGAATAAATGAAGAAAAATAAAGAGGGACCGAAAATGACAAAGACATACACCGTTCACACACTAGCGTTTGCTTACAACCATGTCCTTGTGATCTGTTACAACTCTCTATGAAGTCAGACTTTAATCGGAGATTAGTTAATCATTGGATTTAGAAGCTTTGGCTAGGTGGCGCAAGCCGCCGCCCGATTAGAAGTGTTGAGCCGTATCCATCCATCCATCCGTCGCAAGGGATCCAAAGAGGTTTTAATAAGGCACTCGGTCGTAGCTAGTCGCAAGTGCATTGGACATTATACCCGTTTTCTCTTACGCGATCTGTCTGCTTCTTTTATGATACTATACCACAGGCCTGCGCACTTTAAAGTGCACAAGGCCATTGCCGGCGCCGGGGAGGCGACTCGCAAATTGTGCTCGAGTTCAGAAACCACTATTCTACGTCGTTGAAAAAAAAAAAAAAAAAAAAATTGTCTTGTTTTGCGACTTTTGTGCTGCCCAAATACCGTTAATCTCCTAGGATCCGACCGCGAAGGCAATGGCAACCGTGGAAGCGTGTGCATGAAGCTGACGGAAAACAATTCAGTTGGTAGCTTTCGAGAGAAGAGACGAAAAATGAGCGGAAGCCGTTCCCCACAAGGTTTTTTCATATATATGCAAACTCAAAAGTGACTCGTGTTTTGATTGGCTGAAGTATGGCAGAAAATAAAACTTTATTTTTCCAGGACAAAAGAAAAAGAAAAACAAAACTGAACCGTCGAACAGCCACACAGTACAAAGGGTGACCCCATTGTGGGTTGTGACGTCACCGAACTTCGGCAGCCTTCTTTCAGCTGTCACTCTCCCGCCGTATTTGCGGTCGTCTGGCAGCCTGTCTGCTAGTGACTATACTAGTGACGTTTCCGGTGGGCGCCGTTGTGCCTGCATTCTCCATTGTCTCGAAGAGTTCTGCCGGCACTCGGTCTTTCGGCGTCTGCCTTCTCGCGGCGTTTTCCACGATGAAGAATGCATGGCCGTGTTTTATGCTGGCCAGGCTTCAAGCAGATTACCGTATTTTCTGGACTATACATGTTCAAAGTTAAATATTTACACGATGCGGACTACCTAGTGGTGCGGACTTTACAAGAATTTGTTTGTTTTTCTAGATCGTCCACTAGCTGTGACAGGACGTGAAGGATTTTATGAATAACAGAGTATGTGATTGTTGATCTATGTATCATGCAAGCTTTTTTTTGTGAGCTAATACAGATGGCATTTGTCAAGATGTGCTGTGTGTGATAATTTACGGGTTTGGACTCAGCACTAAGAGCAGACTATGCACGGCGTGCGGACTGTGCGGAAACAAACAAGTGTCTGGTTGCCGCCGTCGCTCATAGATGGCGTTAGCTGTCTGGAGTTTTGTGTCGATATTTGTTTGTCCGCGGACAGGATTCTGGTAAAAGAAAGAAAAACATTGAACAGATCATACGAGGCGTGCAGCGAACATTTCAACACATTCCTGGTCGACTGTCTTTCCAGGAAGCCCGTTCCACTCCTGCACAGTCCGTGGAAGAAATGAAAACTTCAAACAATTAGTATGAGTCCTAAATGAGACGATGAAGTTCCTTTGTTTAGTGAAGTAGCCCTGTGAAAAATTTATGTAATCATTTAGCTTAATTTTATATTTTCCGTGAATTATTTGAAAAATAAAATATCAATCTGCATTCCCGATTTCTTTCTGTCGCTGTGCACAAAACTATGTACTGATGTCCCATACCTGTTAAAAATAAACGTTACAGCTTTATTTTGAACCCTATCTAATCTCACTATGTCTAGGTTTGTAAACGGATCCCAAACAACGTTAGCGTATACCAACATCGGCCGAATAATAGCCTTATAGGCTAGTAATCTAGTTTCCAAGTTAGATGTCCATTGTCCCTCTTGTTCCCCTTCTCCAGGGATTATTTTCATCAATACTTTAAAGTTATTTTT